TTAAAATCACAGAATTAAATGAATTTTAATGAGTATATTGATATAGAATCCTGAACCCGGGAGAGTGCCAGAATATAGAAGTTGAATACAAAGGCCCCAGCAGAGGCTGCTGAGGAGGGATCCTGTTGTGTGAAGAGAACCAGTAGAAAATGGACTTTTCTAATACACCAAAGAAGCCATACTGGTGGGGTGGGGGAGAAATGATCTCCTAAGAAATTAAGCATGGCGCGACAATTGGACTTGATATGCCGGAGGTAATCATATACTTGACAAGAGTAACTTTAGGAGCAAAGAGGGTAGAAGCCTGGACAGAAGAGGCTGAGGAGAAAATTGGAGATGATATTTCTAATTCCTCACATGTCAAAAAGGAAACCAGTAAGGGGCTATAGTGGAAGGTGGCTTGGAGAAACAACATATTTTTATGTAAGAGAAGGAGAAGAAGATGGTGTAGAAATCATGGATACTTCTGGAAGGCAATCTGTGGCATCCTGAGCCCAGTAGCAACGCTGACCTTGAGCAGGTGCAGGGACTCTTTGCTGAAGAGGGAAGGCGGTGATGGGTTGGTGGACTTGGTGATAAGGTAGTGGAGGAAACATAGTTCTTTTTGTGAATTGCTGAAGTGCAATCATCAGTGAAGACAAAGTGGAGAAAGAGAATATCAGAAGTTTGAGGAGCAAGGCAAAAGGTGAGGTGGTTATCTTGGAGAAAATATCACAGCACTGCCTGGCCCAGGAGGGCTTATTTGAATGAGAATGATGCTTGGCCTCAGGCAAGAAAAATCTGGGGATCTAAGTTTTAACCTACAGAGGAAATTCACTCAGTGAATATACTGAAGGAGTTGAGAGAAAGGTTTTTTTGCAAGGAATATTAACAACTGACTATGGGAGGGATTGCAAATAGGGGACTTAGGTTTGTAAGTAACAGGTGATCCTTTCAGTTACTGGCGTCTCAGTGTGGTGGATAAGCCGGTTGGAAGTTGTGTTGGATAGCAGGTCACACTGGTCAGAGGGTAGGTGCTAGTCATGACCTTGCTGTCTGTGATGAGGAATTGACAGAGGGAAACAGTTGGGGTGGCATAGATGAAGGAATTGTTGGAAGTCAGCGAAGAAACTGAGGGCCCAAGGTTTGGGATGGAGGCTCCCTGCAGATCTGAATTCACCTAGCGTGATGGGAGCCCATCATTAGCTGCCTACAAATGGCACGAGGTACATTCAAAACATATGGTGAATGCTTAAATTTTAAAGATTTTATCACAGGAAAGACACTTGGCTGTTAATCCCCTCAGAATACTCACTCTCATTTGCCCTCTTTCATGTAGTGTGACTTAAAGACAAAGCAAACACGGATAGTGCTGCTGCCCAGGGCTGTCCAGCAGAACGGCAGGCTCGTGAACCGTTTCGTGTCCTCAGCTGCCTTTCTTGCCACATCTGGCACCATGTAACTTGGCTCTTCCCCATGTCAAAATGACCACAAAAGGCAAATGTGTTTAGCAGTTGGGACATTGAGGCACCCGTGACAGCACCACTAAAGACATTAGTGAAGGAAAGTCCCAGAACCACTACAGAAAGTGACAAGTGTTCAGACTGAGGGATGTGCTCTGAGCGGGATTAATGGCAGTGTTTCTTTTACTGCAGTAATCTTTGTAAAATGTAAACATCCGCTGTATGTTTCAATTATACTTGCTATAAAACTTCCACATATGAAAGGTAACTGACAGCAATTCATGTCTCCCAGCAAGTTCTATAAAACATTCATACACGATTTAACAAAATAGTCAGTGAATAAGTATCACATTTTTGCTGCTCTTCTTCATTCATAGATCAGCTGTTAATTTACATTTTTAAATCAGATTGGCATTTTTGGATTTAGACGCTGTCTGATTTCTGAACATGACTGCATATCAGAAGGCCTTAGTGGAGTGTTTGGTTTTGGATGGATGACCACACACAGTTTAATGTTTAGGGTGGGGCTAAGCCAGAGAATCCTTACTGTTGAAAGCTTTCCAGGTAATTCTGAAGTTCATTGATATTTTCTAAATTAAAGCATATAGCAGCCTGAAATAAAAAAAAATAATTTTAGAACAAGTTATTTCATATTTAGATTTACTTAGAAAAACTGAATTGATACTAGGGAAAGGAAATGGAGCTAGAATTCTGAACTAGCAAATCTCAACTTGTTCTAACAGTAATTTTAATACAGCACACTGGATTTCTTTCCATTTTCCTTCTTCTCATACACAAATAAACAATTTTATTATACTTCATTTTTCCCCATAGTGACAGCAGTCTCCTCTGTAGTTACATCGTTATGTTCTGGAGAAACAGTGGAGTTGTAAATCTCAACTTATGTCATTTGTGTGATATGTTTGAAATTCGCTTATTGTTTTATATTTTTATTGGATTTCCCTCATATTTTTTTTCTCTAAATTTGTAATGAACTTGTCCCCCACACCACCACTCTATGCCTTTATGGCATGGTTCCTTACAGCTTTCTTGTCTTCTCTAACCCCCAAGGGCTATGCTTCATTTATTTTTATGTTATGAAAGTATAGTGACTTACCAAGGTAGGTAAACATTTGGTGGATGAGTGAACGAAAGTTTTAAAAGTAACCCAATAAACTGCAGAGCGGTTTGATTGTGTGCAATAGCACTCTGGTACTGTTAGGGTCTGCCATTTTAGTGCTCTAGAATTATTCTGGGTGTCGTTCAGTGACCACCAAGCACTGTGAATCTAAGTGATGGAGTAGGAGATTAACCAGGATGCCAGCCCTGATGTCAGGGCATTGGAGAGCATAATTGTAATGAGAAAAAGCGAACATAGATGTGATGCCTGTCATGGTGGAAGAGACACACAGTGTAGTGAGAACACATAGCAGGGTCATTTGGCCTAGCCTTGGAAGGTCACTGACGTCTCCCTGCAGGAAGCTGCATCTGAACTATGAGGTCAAGGATGAATCTGCATGATCTATTGCAGTAGTGAGAGGGGATGACTTGGGCCAGGAAATAGCAGCTCTGAAGGTGAGGAGCAAGGGGATGCAGGGAACGTTTGGGGTACCCCGTGCACATCTGTGCGCTGGAGTGCAGAACCTCATTATGGTAGGGCTTCTTTACTTCATGCATGAGTTGCAGTTGACAATCGCTGAAGTAATAGAATTTGCATAAGGGTTTAAGGTGGAACCTACAGTATTAGAATAGTACTTTGCCACAGAAACGTGCAATTAAAATCAGTTTATATTGCTATCCTCCCCTTTTTTTTAGCAAATTGTTTCATGCCCCAGAGAAAATTTTGCCACAGATACAGATCAGTGGATCCAGAAATAGTTTTAACGACTTAACAAATTTAATGAAAAAGTTTTCAAAAACCTACAAGGTAATCCATGTCACCTGGGTGTTGGTTGCAGCAAGCACTTAGTTCTGTTTGTAGCCAAGTGACTGTAACCCAATATTATTTTTTTTAAAAAAGAGGATACTGACACTTTTTATTCTGGCAACATAAAAGCCACTTGACAAGGCTGAAAATGCATTCCCAAAACCTGTTTGAGAAGTTCTTCCCTAATGGCTTCTGTGAATGACTGCTGAAGGGCTTTAATGGTGCTTTAGGGAAGGGCAGTGGAGATCTGAGGGCCGGGAAGTGAGGGCTGTCGTACACCACAACGCTCTTCTGTGCCCAGGAGAACTGCTTAGAGTGTTCTCATATCCCGAGAACCTGAAAACTCTGTTTACTAACAAACTACTCCCTTTGTTGGAAGACAGTATTTTTTTCTCTCTGCGATGGACTGCTGGTTTGTTGGCTTATTTGTTTGTTGATGTACTGGAGACTGAACCCAAGGTCTTTGCACTGACCTCTGTACATATGCCCTTTTTCACTTTTTAATTTTCATACAGGATTTCACTGCTACCCAGGCAGTACTTTTTAACTTCTCATCTTTCTGCCTCTGCATCCAAAGTGCTGCGGAATAGGAATTCTCACTTTTATTTTATTTTTTCATCTTTTAAAAGTAGTGTTATTTACAATACATAATAAGCTGTTTTGATAGGTGTGCCCATGATGAAAAGAATACTGCTGCCAAAATTGAACATATCCATCTCAGCACATGACTACCTTGTCTTTCTTTGAGGTGAGAGCACCTGAAATCTGCCCTTTTAGCAGATTCCCAATATATAATATTTTTACATGATATGTTAGTTCCTTTACTGCAAGGATAATTATGAAATATCTAGAGGCACTAAATTATCATTCTAAAAGAATGCCAAATTTCTACAAGTTTAAAATATAACCACAATATTAATCTAAACATAAATGAAGATACGGGTTACTGCATGTATGTTTAAGTGTATAGGATTGACAACCATGTTACTAAGTTTTTGTTGGACAGTTGAACAGAACTGTTTACGGTCTTGCTGTTTGAATTCCTACTTTACATGTTCCATTTTTGTACCTTGAACAACTATTTGTAAAACGACAATATGTAAACACCAACTGTTTATTTTTTTCTCTGAATGTATGTGTTATTTCTACCTATTTTCTGTTTTGTTTAGTCTTTCTTTAAATAAAATTTAAAAATATATATAACCACAATATAGACCACATTTCCCCATTTTATAGAGTCCTGAAAATGTATAGGATCTATGTAACTTTGAGGTTACACAGAAAAATGCTAATTAATATCATTAATGCTACTTTATGGCCATTTAGATGCCTTGTATAATCTTATGAACCATTATTTACATGCTTAGATATAATATGTTCTAGTGTTAAGGGTGAGTTTTTGAACAGAGAGACCCGCATCTTCCATTTACTGACTCTGTGACCTTGGGTAAAGTCTCAGTCTTCTGATCCACAAGTTGGGCATCTCACTAGTAACTGTCTCCTAGGCACGCTGTGAGAATTGAGTACATTCCTTAGACACTAATTAGTACTCTTGAGCATCTTAGCCTTTACCTTTTAGCTCTGTTTGTCTGTTTTATTATGGACAATTTTCTCTTTTTTTATTCCCCCAGGGATATGAAGCCTGATAATATTTTACTTGACGAACATGGTAAGTAAATGATTTGTTTTCAGTTAACTAGAAGATGTGAGCATAGAGCCAGCTACCTGTCTCCCTCAACAGAATATTACACACGAAAAAAGTTGATCAATTGAGTTATATGTATAAACTAATCTTATGATAGGAGGAACTACATGGGGAAACTTTGCTACTTACAACAGTCGTATAGTAGAAAAATATACTCAAATAACATTGAACTTACACAATGAGAAAGTTATTCTCTACCTAATTTTCTTCCACTAGCACTTCTTTAAAAAAAAAAAATCAGAGTGGTTCTGGCATTAGTTTGCCTTACTATCTTATATTACATAATCACTTCTTTTGCCCCATAAAGACAGAGCAGGCCTCAGTATTACAGTATTAGCTAGGTAATAGTACCCATCAAAGTAGTGATATTATTTTATTATTACGTGTACTTTTATACTTTTGTTCTTATGAAGGCAGATTGCTTTTATATCCACAGAAGAGATACCAAGTTTTCTGTTAAACATTTTAGTTAAATCATTGACTTTAAAGAAAAATATGAAGGACATAAAAGATTATGTGGTGCCTCGTTATAAAATGGGTACACAGGTACTGGCGATAACCATTAAGGTGGGGAGTGAGTGCCTTAGGTTTAAGAAACACGGATTAGCTATGCTTCGGAAGCTATGAACCTCTTCACAGGTGATTAAATCCGCATAGTCCCTCCTGGTGTTTACCTTCCTGTGCAGATGGGTTTATGGTGCTGCATCTGGGCAGTCCTATAGAGAACACAGCCTGTGTGTTGTAAATGTTACGGAGACACCAATACCCTTGTCCTATATTCAGAATGCTGCCGGATGAGAATTGTAAATCCGCAAAACTTCTTACTTGTTCAGCTTTTACAATGAGAATTTGCACGTGAGCTGGAACTCCAAGTCCGCTCTGTTGCTCATCATTTATTTACCTCCCTCAGTTTTAAACCTGACCTCTGAGTCCCTGCCTGTGCCGCGGGCTGAGAAACACTTCTGTGTATGACCTCTAATCTCAAAGCTCAGGGTCATTATTTATTTATGAACTGTCTAAAAGGATTTCTTCCACTTTTCTTCTAATGTCTTCTTTCTTTCTTACCTTTACTGTCTCTGACATCTGTGAACAGATTTGTGAATCTCAAGAAAGCGGGCAATGGGGAGACTTAGCGTGAAGGTGACTTTCACAAAAACGCCAGCTCTTCCTGCCTTAGGTAGAAGGCAGCATCCTCTCCTGCTCAGCTTTAAATAAACTCTGTGAAGCTTTAAACTCGTAGAGAGGTGGCCTGCAGACGTGAACTAAGAAGAAAATATGCTTATTTTGCAACTAAGAAGAAAAGTGCTCTGTGCTTAGGGCCAAGCTTTCTGATAGTACGTGGCTGGTCCAGAAGCAGCAGGTTGGGGTTCACCTCACCTGCCCCTTGGCCAGTTCCCTCTGGCCATGGTGCCTGTTGCTCCTGAGGAGAGCCAGATAGACCGTATCAAGCAAAATTTCAATATTTATCATGCATTTTAAGAACAGTGCTTTAGTCTTGGGTCTCAGACATGTTTCATCTCTCCTCTACTGGAGAGCATCCTCCTCTCCTCCACCCATCTTCTTCCTCCTTATTTCTTGGCAACTTGCTGATTATAGATGAGGCACATGATAAATCAGCTAATCTTCGGATGTAACCACACTTAGACCCTACCCTGAAAGTGAAAGACTGCAGCAGTGTACTCACGGGCATGGATTCGGGAGCCAGTTTGGTTTAGTTCAAAACCACATTCACCTCCTCACTAGCTCTGACAGTTTCAGCAGGTTTTCTAAACATTCTCCATGTCTTGGTTTTTGCAGGGATTACTTGGTTTCTTCTTAGGGTCACTTTTGGAATGGCTGATATAATAGTCCTGCGTCACTTGATGTAATGTCCACCACAGAGGAGTCAGTCACTATGGTTCCCAAGAAGTAGTAGTTGCTTTCTGCCCTGCTGAAGGAAGCTTGGACTTCTTGTTTCACGTGCCTTTGTTTAAACTAGCGTGTATCGCATCAGACAGTCTGTGAAAGCTGAATACTTATATTTCCTACATAATTATTTCAGTTCCAGAGGAGTTACACCACATGCTTGTGTACTTGGCAGATCATGCTTTGTATCAGTTTCACTTTACTCTTGATCACTTCACCGTCAGTGATTTATTCTGCTTTGCGTCATGTGTAGAGGGGGCTAAAGTCACTATTTATAGCGTTTTTATTCTTCTTGGGCTGGGGCTCCGTTGTTTAGGAACTGTGAACTCCCATCCCAGCCTATTTGAGAGGCAATTCTAGTCTACATCTATTATCTGGTATATTATCTACAATGACCCAAAAAGAGGCTTTTCTGTCTTACATTCCCTTCTCAAACCACCATTTCTCTTGATGAGAGAAAAAGTGTCTCTGAGCATTAGCCTAGGGATTCCATTCTGGAAAACAAAAACATCTTTTTTTTTTTTTTTTTGTCTTTTTCTTTTTTATCGGTACCAGCGATTAAATTCACGACTGCCTGCTTGCAAGGCAGGTGCTTATGCCGCTGAGCTAAACCCCCAGCCCCTAACAAAAACATCTTGAGGTCACTTTTATTTATTTAGGATTCTGAAAGGCTAGGACTTCTGACATTGCTCAGGACCCATAATTAATCTCATTTAAGTGAAAATCTTCCTAATCTGTCTCCTCTCAACTCATTATGAAATTGCTTGTGTGAGAAACACAGACTTGCAAATCAATCCCTGCCTTTTGGAACATATTCCGATGTGATCTTCTATGTGGAGCTCCTATTTGAAGTCCTCACTTGTAGTTTCCACTGCTGGCCCATCACCCAGGCCCCTTCTGTGGGGATATTAGCAGGTGTAAAGAGCCACCTATATCTTGATATTCCGCCCTTGCCTGTCCTTCCAACTGAGCACTGTGTTGGAACATGTAATTTAGGTTGTAATCCAGCACAATTCACTAACAGAAACTTTGTTTTCTTCTTATTGAATCATATTATTCATGATAACCAAAAATATTGACATTTAATAGAGATGGTTATTACATGGAAAATCTTTCCATGACATGAATGAGCATTCCTTGTACATCAGAATTTGTTATAAAAATATGTTTTAATTCAAAGCGTATCTGATGCTGATTTCCCCAGATGTCTCATTTACTAGCTCAGAGCCTGGATGGTATCAGATGTTGGATGACTCATAACCAACTGTCCTGATAATATATTTTCATATTCTAGAAATTTGAGTGCTTCAATTCTATCAATTCTGTATTATCTAAAATTCTTGGGATTGTCTTAAATTATTCATGAAATAAACACTGCATCTAGATGAGCAGTAATGTCTGCCTGACATATCATAATAAATATGGAATCATCTATAATACAGCTTTCTTAATATCATCCCCTTGTCATAAGAAGAGGCATAAAAACTCAGGCTACGGTGTGAGGGAGAACTGAGCTTGCCGTTTTAACAGCTTATCCCTTGCGGAGTCCTAAAATGTTTCTAAAATTCAAAAAGATAGTGTTTTTTAAAGAATGCATATATATAAGGCAGAATATTGCCCCTTTCCTCCATATAATTAGCTTTATTAGTCTCAAGGAGTGCCTAAGGATATGCATTTTTAACAAACACCACAAGAAAGCTATGGCATACATACATAAACACTTGCAAGTAGGCGAGGGTTTTGAAAGTTGAAGATGGCATAACTGATTTGTTATTGTGCCCCAGAGTATTATGCTGATGAGAAAGATCCTCAGTCCTAGTACAGGCTCAGTAAGAAAAAGTGTAGCTAATGAGAGCAATGATGGCTGAATTCAATGACTCGGTAAGATAAATTCAGATTTTTAATGTGATCCTGTGTCTCAAAACCACAGAGGTTAAAAAGAAGGAAAGTCAGAAGCTCTCCCCAAAGGACATTAGATCAGGAAGACTTTAGTCTTATACTTGAAAAACTCCTCACACAAAGATCCTGGTTTTTTACTGTGGGAGATTTTGCTCTGCTGCCTCTTCCTGCTGAGGAAATTTGGTGGTTTGGAGACATTGGTAATTAGGAAGACTAGCCAGGAATGGGAGATGCTTTTGGTACCCAGTGGGTAAGAGATAGGGATGATAATAAATATTTAGTCATGCACAAATCAGCCCTCAATAGTAATGAGTTTGTGAAACTCTGTTTCTGGGGTCACTTAGGTCTTAGATTTGTGGAAGTAGCTATCACCATTTTTCATAGGGAATTCTGCCTCCTTCAGTCAGCAGGAGACTCACCCTTCCTCTGGGATCAGCACTCAGATTCACTTTCACAGCACAGAAAGGAAGTGAGCAGATGTTACCAGGCTGAACAAACTATGGCAGCATTTGGAGGAACTGGGGCTTAGGGTCTCTGTCCCTGATCCTGTGAAGTTCAAATTCATTGTTTAGCTTAAAGAGCACCAAGCTGGAGAAGATCATGGGCCTTATATAAGTTTTCCTCATTCATTAGTAGGCATTCCAGTAGGCACAAACAAAATGAAACAAAACAACTCTGAGCTAATCAGAATGTAGGAACGTGACTACAAATCTACTGTGTGTCAGGGATGGAGTTCAGGGCAGAGCCTGAGTCTCTTTGCCCCCTTTCCAGTGCTCAGCATTCAGCCCCTTTAAAACAAAAGCTGAGGTTTCCCTCCTCCTTTTCCTGAGAGTTAATGAAGACAACCTGAACTCTCCCCCCCCCCCCAATGCTAATAGCATTTCAGAAAAATCAGAACAAAGACTGTTTCTTGGCCAAAAATACGTGTATTTACACTTGGGTCTGCCTATAGTATTTTGCATGTATTTTGATTTATTTATTTTTATTTTAAAGAGAACTAAAAAAACAATAAAAACAGTATAGAATTTCAAAGCAAGATGATAGGAAATTGACAATGGTTATCATATTGCATATTATTGTCTTCAAAATAGTTGCTCAGATTACCAGATATAAGTGTGCAAAATTGATCAAGCAATATAAACACTAACTGTTCCTTTCAATGAACTAATAGAATGAGTAGTACAATTATCTTAGCTATTGTGTGTGTGTGTGTGTGTGTGTGTGTATTTTAAGTTCCTTTAGAAGGTGCTTGAAACTGTGATGTGTGGAACAGTTCTTAGCTACGTCCTCATGATAGTCGTAGGTTAAACAGCTTAAAATGTTACCAATAGCAAAATTGCCTATGTAGAATCATCAGAGCATAAACTCCTTCACTGAAGTTAAAACTTCCAGAGGTTGAACTACAGTTTTAATCAGAGATGTATCAGTGAATGTGTGGCTACTGGAGAGCTGCTGATTTAAGACCATACCGACCTTAGGGATGAAATAAATGAGTTTCATTGCCTGTACCCCATTGCAACTAGTATACAACGACTTACAGACTAAGTTTCCAGATTCTTCCAGCCTAAAATGAGACAGACACGTGATGGTACAACTGGGTTGAAGGGGACTTACCATTCTCTGTGCCTTTCTTTCTCCCCAGGGCATGTGCACATCACAGATTTCAACATTGCAGCCATGCTGCCCAAGGAGATGCGGATCACCACCGTGGCTGGCACCAAGCCTTACATGGGTATGGACCTCCTGAGTGACCACTGGGAATAAGAGCAAAGCTTTTGTGTTTCTGTTTATTGCAGGTTAAATCTGCAGGGATTTGCAGTTAAGAGAAAACAAATTCCCCTCTTATTTTACCTGGGCTTCTGATTTAATATGTGTGAGGTGATCTTTGAGATCTTCAGTAGCAAATCTACAGGGTGATATTGATTCAGCCAGGTCATTTTGAAGCATTTTGAAAATATTCTTTCATAAGCTAATTATGGCAGTCTCTAATTCCCAGCAAAAACTGTTAATTAATGCCGTAAGTGTCTACTAATTGTGTGCTTGGTAACGTCTCAGATGCTGGCGACCCAGGAGTGAGCAACACATATAAGATCTTTGCATATTATTATGAGGAAATAACAAATAGAATCAAGTTAAAAAGGAAGAAACAGTAATAACATAAAATGATAATATGTGACCAAAGAATTATTGTATCTCTAGTTGACATAACACTGCATTACTTTCATAGGGCTGTCAGTTGTATAAAATACCTTCTCAATTATAATTTTAACTTCAATTTTTTGTCACACACAGCAATCGTATTTATTTTTCTCTTGAAAGATGAGGAAATTTTGCCTCAAAAAAGATTAAATGACTATAATTTTGGGTACAGTGAGACAAGGTATAGTCTGTGCTTTGATGATTTAGAATTTATTGAGTTCTGACTAATAGTATATGGTGAGGTGCAAAATTTCCAGCAAGCCCCCAGGCTTAATTGTATTAACATGTCAACTACAAATTCTTAGCTATCAGAGGGTCTGATTTCTATAAAGATCTAACTTTTCCTACTTCATGTACACCTCACAGTGTACTGTGATAGTCACTGTTTAGGAAACATTCAGCACTGAGGAAGAGAGTGTTCTTCCTTTTTGCTCCCCATCTTGAGAGGCAAGTAAGTTGGATCCCAAATAATTATCTGTAAATAATGAGATGCCTGTAAAGACCAGGGGTTTGTGCTCCACTCTTGGTTAGATGTCTGTTTTATTATTGAACTTGCTGATTGATCCCTGAGCTAGCAGACCCCAAAGGACCATGGAGAATTGATAAATTTGGAACAAGTCTTAATGAGGAGGAGGAGAGAAATATACTTCGAGTTTGAATGTGTTTAGGGGACACAGGATGTGACCCTGTTTCACAGAGGCCCCTCTAGTGCTGGGTGCTGCCTGGGAAGGAGGAGGTGCTGTCAGCGTGGCTTCCTGGGAACACCAGCAGTCTCAGTACAACCCTACTGTATCAGACCCTTTGAGGGTGGAGTCCAAGGCATCCACTGGTTAAAAAGTTCTTCATGTAATTCTGCTGTGCGGTCCGGAATGACCACCGCTGCCAGCCCTGGGGCTAAGACAGCACGTTGTCTTAGGATCTTTCTGCCTCTATTATTCCTCTTCTGTGGTTTAAAAAGCTGGAGAAAGAGCTGTGTGAGAACCAGATGTGTCTTCCATACGACCCCCAGGTGGTAGGATCTAGTCCACAGAGTGGAGAGGAAAAGAGTTGACTCAATTATGGGATTAGTTTCCAAGTTGATACCACTGAATTTGAAAGTATCCATAGTAACAGCTGTGAGAAGCGAAAACAATTAAAATTTATTAGGTCACAGGCTGAGTGGTCACGAGGGGATCCTCGATCCAGCCAAAGCAAGAGGTTAGATGTTGCACAGTTGCTGGTAGAAGATAAATGGGCAATGCAATTCATGCTTTTATCCTAATTAGTAAGGTGTGAAAACAGGTGAGGCTGCTGTATAATCTGGTAGGATTAATTTGGACATAGAATGAATTTCATTGGCTAGTGATGATCAGAGTAACTCAGGCAAAATACCTGAACTTGCAAATCAAGGGCAAGAGCAATGCTACTTTCTCTTTAATTCTCTTTCATCCTCCATATAATATGCAGACAACCCCCTACATCCAGGGCCACCTCATGTCCCAACAGGAAGAAATCTATGGGAGGATAAGCAGCTTTATTTTATGTGACATTTGAATAACTGCAAATTTCTTAGCATTCAATTATCAGTGAGCGGACTGAATCTCTTTTGTTACTTCTAAAATAATGGACACATGAATTCAATCTGTTTTCTGCCTAAAACCCATGGCACTAGGATGATAAAAGGGAATATCCAAACCTGCTGTTCTGATGAGTTTAGTCCCCAGGTTTTCATATTAAGGGTGATTTTCTTGGAGCTAAATCAGAAAATGTGCATGTGGAGTTCCCAGCACTGGTTTCCATGGTGAAAGGGCTAAAGGCAGGCCACCATTATTTCTTCTCGCCAGTGATTTTAAGTACAATATCTGTAGTATTCAAGTTTTTTTTCAAAATTGGCAGCTAGTCTTTTCATAAGATAGAAGTAGAAAATTGGAACCTAGATAAGAGGCTCTTCTTTTCCACTTCACCCTTATAATTAACAGTTGGTAATATTGATCGAAATCTTGGTATAGAACAATGGGTTTAATGCTTTAGGTTCATTTACTCGTTTATTTTTCTTAATAGCCCTATGAACAGACTATACTTATTTTAAAGTAAAGACAGTCAGAAACTAATTTGCCAAAGATCATATGGCTGAAATGTAATAAGTATGAAAAAGCTTAGATTAAACCAAGCTCTGATCACTTCAGAAATCAAGTTTCTCCTTAAAACAAACATGAAGGGAAAATTAATCTCTAAATAAATTATATATACATATATATTTTGAAACATTTTTATCTGCGGCTCTTAAGTTGTTCTAAGCCAATATAATTAGGCCAAAATGTTGGAAACATTTTTTATTTTATTCTGAATTAAATGTCTGACTGTGATACCTGATCTCCTTATTGAAAACTGCCCTTGTTTTTGATTTGGGGCTGATAGACTTTATAATAGGAATTGTGGGTGGATGCCTGCTTCGTCCTTTTTGTTTTGTTTAGGGTATAAATAATACAAAATTTAAAAAATAAACAGTAAGAAATCACTAGTTAATAGATTACATATTTTCATCTTAGAAATAGTTTTTCAAGTTACAGAACTGAAGCATATAAAGTGGACTTTCAAACAGTGAGAGTGCAAACAGTTTTGTTCAGTGATCCAAAAAAAACTCAGTAATATGGTTATCTATCTTATACACTTAAACATATATGCAGTTATAACCTTCAGAGCACTTTCTTTTCTTTTCTTTTGTACAATGACAATTACACATTTTGGGTTTTATTACTCCCACAGTTCTTATTACTTTTTTTGAAGAGAGTAAAACCAAATGCAACATATCAGAACAGAGTCAGTCAAATCAAAAGGATGAACATAATAGATAATGTAAAAACAAAACACTAGGTGATCAACAATGGTTACCATACTGCCTCTTGTTATTTTAAGAAGAATTGCCAGTTATAATAAAATTGAACAAAACAGTAAAGAATAAAACCAAAGCATTGGAGACATTACAGGACTTTAAAAGAAGATAATAGTCAACCGGAATGGGCGTCATAATGAATCTTATTGTCTTCACAGTTTTGCCTATACTTGGTACTATTAAGCAAAGCAGAATAGGGGAAAATCAGTCAAAACAAGATGGTGAGGGCAATACAGGATTTCAAATCAAGTTAATAGGAAATCAAAGTAGGTTACTATAATGTATCCTATTTTTTATTTATTTTCCCTTTATTAAAAAGATAAAAAGAAAAAAGTAAATAATTAAAAAGGGGGGGGGATTGAGATGAAAGAGGGCATAACAACAAAACAGCTCAGGTCAAAACATAACCATTTAAGCAAAATAGTGTTTCACCACAAGATATCCTGACATAAAAATAGTTACCATAGGGTCTCTTTCCTTGAAATCTTTGAGTATAACTTCGTATACTGTAGCACCAAACATATCAAGACACTATAAAACCATTCAACAGAATGACATTATTACAGGGTATTTAGAACCAATTAACAGAAAATGAACAATGCTTCGTCTTTTTGAAAAGCATATTTTCAGTAATTACCTATCTAGCATTCTAAATAAATAATCTAAATAAACTCTACCTATCAGGCATTCACTGGCTTATTTTATACTGTGTGTGTGGAATTCCAATTAGCAATTAACCAGAATAAAAATCTAAAAAGAAATTAGGCCAAAATACTGGATGAAAATTAGAGGAATATTCTATATCTACTCTTATGGGGTGCTGGGCATATTGTTAAGTAATTGTATGAGTGAAAATAAAAAGATGATCTGTCTACCAGTACATTACTACCTTCTTCTACCCAGCGAGGAACTATTGCTTTTAAAAGCTATACTCTGCCTCCATGCTTTGCCCTAATAGAATCCAGGTCAGCATTTCAACAATTAAAAAACCTTATCCTATATATAGAGAAATTGTGTGTGTGTGTGTGTGTGTGTGTGTGTGTGTGTGTGTGCAAACGTGCATTATGCAGAAAGTATTAAATGCTACTAAACAAAGGACAAGCAAATTAATACTTCTACCAATAGATTTTTATTGTTTCCTTCCAATGTTTTTCTCATTTCCAAAAACTTGGATCACACTAAATTGCCTTAACGTAAATTTTTACTTCATAATATAGTAGCAACAGTAATAATATACATCATAATGTTAATGATGTCTCAGGCACTTTAATTTTTTTAGCATTTATTATATCCTTTTTTTTTTTCTTTTTGGTCTGAGACAGGGTCTTGCTATGTAGTTCGTGCTGGCCTTGAATTCACTTTGTAGCTTAGGCTGACCTCAAACTTGCAGCAATCCTCCTGCCTCAGCCTTCTGAGTACTGGGATTACAGGCGTGAGCCTCTATGCCTGGCTGAAACATCTATTATATCCTTAAGCTAAAAAATAACCTTATGAAATAGGTATTATTATATTTTTATTGCATAGATTTAAAATTCAGGCCCAGAGAGAAAATGATCTGATCATAACCATATAGCAACTGGCAGCATGAAATTAAATCCATGTCTAAAAAGGTCCAGTTTGGGGCATTAATGAGGAGGATGGAAATGATAAAGGTATAATGATCCTGTTCACTGAGTTCTTTGCATATTCGACTCCTGTTCTGAGTGCATGATTTATATAAACTAATTCAGCAAGACTGGGACTTCTGTTGTTCTTGCTTGAAAAATGAGCAGACTGAGCAGTAGGAAATTGTCAAACCCTAACTCATAGCATTTCCCTGCTGCCCCTTCAAGCTAATAACTTCGCCAGAGTGTGAGTCCTGACAACCACACTCTGCTTTTTCTCTACACCAGTACATATAGCTATCATTTTGAAAGACTCAGGTCCTACAGATCAGAGGGTGATACCAAATTTACAACTCCTTATTGTTAGACATTAGATTGTTTCTTATTTTGAAATCTGTATAATTTTGTAGTAAAAATCCCATTAGCAATATCATGTCCTGCAACAGTTATTTCTTTGGGATAAATTTGCACTGAGAAATAATAAGGTGTTCTATTCTTGAAAATCACTGAGAGTAAATTTAAGTGTCACCATAAAAAAGGTGTGAAATAAAACATGTGTTAACTGTCTTTATTTAGCTTTTTCCTAATTATGCATGTTTTAAAACACAATGTGGTAGGTAATAAATATGCATAATTTTTGTCAGTTAAAATCAATTAACTGAAAAAGCATTTTTTAGTCAGATGGTATAAATACAAATGTGTTTCCCTCCTGCAAGTTCATATCGATTTCTGCTTGCTCTGGGGTTGCCTGGGATACCCACTTCTCTGCGTCATCACCTCTGCTACACCATGTACCTTTAATCTTCCCCAAATGATAAATAAAAATGATACCCTATTGTGTTATTAAAATTGAATTTCTCTGACTTCTTTTGTAAACGGCCTGTTCACATTCTTTGCTCATTTTCTATTTGGGCATGAGCACCTAAACTTCCTCTGATATTCTTTATTGTTTACATGACGAAGTCTTGCCTTTATGTTTCAGAAATAGTTAAATCCTGAGTATCATATTATGTTATTCACTTGACTATGATTTGTTACTTTTTACTTTGCTGTTTTGTGACTTAAATGAGTTCTAAACTCATCAAATTACTCATCCTTTTGGGCTTTGGGGGGAAGCTTGGGAATGAAACCTGGACCTTGCACATGCCAGCCGCGTACCTGCCACTCGGGGATACCCCTCATCAGTTTACTTCGTGATGTCCGTCTTTGACATTGTTCTTACCAAGATTTCTTCTCACCTCCAGATTTTAGATGACCTTACCTAATATTTTTATTATTTTTTTACTCAGTACATCTGTATATAATTTTACCTGAACTTATATGGTAGGATCTGAATTTATTGCTAGATAACTGAATAGTTATTTTGAGATTGTATCTTATATAAGACCTTTGTCAGACTGATTTGGAAGATATTCACCAAAAAATAACAATTTAAGTGCTAATATCTATATTCTGTGGCTTTCAAATCATTATTATAGCTTCATAATGTGGGTTAATGCATGTGATACAATTTCATCTATTTTTTCCAGAACCTTTTATTATTTCCTTTTTTTCCTTGCAGATAAAATTTAGAATAAATTTTATATAAAGTCCTATGAACCATTTTTATTATGGTAAATTTATAGATTTAACTTTTGGGGTTTTTAGGTCCTGATCAAGATCTAATATATAGGCTTTATAAAAAAACCTGAAAAACCAATTGATGAAAATTCAATGCCTAATATTTAGACTTAATAATACTAAATTTATTAGTAATTGGAGGCATGTCAATCTAAGCCACTACAGAATACAATTACACAATCACCAATCTGTGAAGACTAAAAACCTCAAGTGTCAGGGAATAACCAAATGTGGATAATATTTGCAGCAAAAAGCTCTGAGACCATTGCTGGTCAGCATGTGAACTGCCCGACCACTTTTGTAAATAGTTGGACATTTTCTAGCGTCCATGAAGAAGGACATCCCTATAGCCATCAGGCCCCAGGCTTACATGCACAGGAATGTGCAAGAGAGCATTGCTTACAGCATTCCTATCTTGGAAATAACTCCAATGGCTATCAGTAGGTCAGGTAGATAAATTATAGTATGTATATATCATTAAATGTGAACAAACTTTAACTACCTGAAGTGACTTTGATAAATCTCAAGTGCTGTACTCTTGAAGAAGTAAAGTGAGACACCAAGAAATAGGATTTAAGATGACTTAATAGAACACAATGAATAAGCTTTGTTTTCTTTGTTGTTTCCTTTATTATGAAGCACTGAACTGTGAACTAAATACCTGGCCAGCTAGGCAGTCCCTCACTCAGCCAGTTCATCCACAGCCCTCAGGAAGTACACAAATTTAAACCACTGTTTAGAAATGTATACACCAGGAGTACATCTGTGTCAAATATCAAGAAAATCATTAGCATGTAATTCAGGTTTAGGGATGTAAACAGGGCAGGACACAGACTTGGAAGGAGGTATCTTTTTTGACCTGTAGAATTGTTACATGGGCATTTGCTTATATTAATTAAATTAAAATTTCTTTTTGAATTATCTATAAAAATAATTAAAAAGCAACAACACATAAAATAGTGTATTTTTTGGAGCATGTGTGTGTGTGTGTGTGTGTGTGTGTGTGTGGTTCTGATGATACAACAGGGCTTCTCACATGCTGGAAAGGCTCTCTGCTAACAGGCTATATTCCTAACCACTTAATGGCTCTTTTTGAAGAAAACTTAGTCCCTCTGCAAGACTTTTACAACCTCTCAGGAGCAGGGGATATTCTTGAAGGAAGAGTGAAATTCCCTTAGGAGCTGCTGGTTTTTCTGCTATTTAGAAACTCAGAGAATTACTCATTTGTTCAGCTTTTGTATGCTGTCATGATTTTTCTTCCTAATGTCCTACCAAATACCTCAGTACATAGCACACCATGATTATCTGCTCAGTGGACAAACGCATGTCTAGGCCTTCAGGCCTGAAAATAGAGCAGGCAGAAGAGCAGACAAACAAAAACAAAACCAAAAAATAGTTACTCAGTAAAGCTAGGGGAAAAAAAGATAAGAATACTCATAAATTCTGAGCTGATCCCAAATGACAGACGACAGAGCTTTTCCAGGGTGATGATTATGTTGTTTGGCGTGCTCCTACCACAGTGGATCCAGTTAGCCCTCAGACCTCTTTGCAGTTTCGCTAAGTGAGATGTCTGTCACTTACCATCTGGGGGACTCTCTGGGATGACTTGCTGTGAGATACTGAAAAGGGAAAGCAGAAGTATGGCCCATGCTATCTATTCTGTAGGTGTTCTCTGGGGCCACGCCATTATCTGCCAGTCCCACTGGGAGCTGTGGTTTGCAGGAAGGATGCAGTGATGCAGGAGAGGTGAATTCACTAGGACACGAGGTCTGCTTAGTCTTCCTACATCAAGCTCCTATTTGAGGTCAGTCTGGGCATTGGAAAGTCAACATTCTATCTCTAATTGGGTGTTGTCTATGAAATTCTATTTAGAGTTGGTGTGAACTGCATAGGCGAGCCTGAGTATGCAGATGGTACCTCATCTCCGTTTCCTTTTCCAGCGTCAGCACCTTATTAGAGGCACTTGGCATCAACCCTATGACCTTTTCACTAGGTACATTCCTTGTTACTATGGATGTCTGCCTGTCTAAGAAATTAATAGTTTTGACCAGCTGATAAGTACGAGGCTCTATATTGAGATTTCAACATACATTATCTCATGTACTTTATAAATCTGTAAAGATTTCCTGTTATTCTCATTTTGCTAATCACATTCTGCCAGCTGATTTGTTCAAGACCACAATCTGTGGTGGAGGCAGAACTTGAACCCAGATGGCACAGTTTCAGAGCTAATGTTTAAAACTGCGGCTTGAGTAGTTGATTATTTATCCATTCACTTAACGAATTGCTGCCCATTTAGCCTGACTGCTAGGTTCTGTACTAGACATTAGGAATGTCACGGTGAGCAAGCCAACAGGATGCCCACGATTGCTGTGTGTTTGATCTCCTATTCCAGCCCTTGTGGTACTAAGAGTATGTAGAGTTGCCTGTGGGTCAGTGTACTTAGAGTAACAGAAGAGTCATTCCAGGGGCTGAGATTGATTTGTGACCCTGCCTTTCATCAAAGCCAGTTCAGAGACACCTTGGATCTCCAATTGGTAATGACCCGAAGATGTAGTAAAGCCTTGTGTTTCGTAGAGTATCTATTCTAGCTTTTCTTCTGCCCTCACCCCCAGCAGGAGGCTGCAACCATTTCCCTTATTTCCAGGGTACGCCAAGGTGAAGAGCCGATCCAGTGTATTGTGTACCCAATTCTGAGCATTGTTTGCAATCATAAATTGAAGTCCTTTAAGTGCAAAATCTTCCAAATCAAGATAGCTCCTTAACCTTCTTTATTTTAGGGTTGGATACATACTTGATGCCGAGGAAGACCCAAGTTTTAATGGGTGCATGGTCTAAGTAAGGGAAGAGTTTCTGTGTTACAGGCTGTGCGTGCCTGTGTGTTGGTTGATAAATGAGACTACTGAGAGAGCTAAGAAAATTAGAAAATTTTTCCTGCTGTGAGCAATCCAGCAAGGGACAATAAACATTCATAAGTGTTTATACTTTCTGTGCTGATAATTCTCCTTTGGAGGAACATGTTGGGAAAATAGAGTCATTAATATCTCAGGGAGTAAAGCTGGCCTAACTTTCCTATGTTTTTTCAGCACCTGAGATGTTCAGTTCCAAAAAGGACACAGGCTATTCCTTTGCTGTGGACTGGTGGTCCCTGGGAGTGACGGCGTACGAGCTGCTACGAGGCCGGGTACAGAAGAACTGCATGCTCTTTGGTTATTCTTTGAGCGAGTTATTTTTTTTAAAATGAAAGAATGTGTTGTTTGCTAAGAATCAAGCCAACTGTATTTGAGAGCTGAAAACAGCTATACTGTGTGCCAGTACTACCCTTTGGGGGTTCTAAACAGATTAATTCATGGTCTTATATACAGGACTAATTGTGTCAGTTAACATTAAATTACCCAGGTAACATTAAATAAACAAAACAGATGTCATATATTTCCAAAGAGCAGAAATCAATATAGTTCACTCAGTGTCCTGGGAAATACACGCCTTTGTTTAAAGAAAGTCATTTTGCAGTCCCAGTACAGAATTCTAATTCAGACACATCTCATCAAAGTAGTGTGAATTATTAACACAACAGAACTCATGCCCTACCCTGTCTGTCATTTGGTTCCCTGGTTAGGGGTTCAGTGGTAAATTAGAGTACTTTCCTTCTGAAGAAAACATTTCCCAATCTAAGAAACTTTTTTAGAAAAAATATAAAAATGAAAGGACTATGAACAAAAATGTATTTTATACAACTTTTACAAATTATTGCAGAATTTAGATGCCCTCAAGGCTGCATCTTAGTTAGCTTGGCTTACCAAACACTACAGTGGGTGTCTTAAATATAGATTTTTATTTTATCACAATTAGAAATACTGGAAGATCATGGTGGTAGAGGTGTTTGGGCTTTGGTCTCACTGACATGCAGATGGTGACCTTATCCTGTGCTCACTGGGATGAGACACAGAGTGATGGAATGGGGGTGGTGGAGACAACTCTGCCTCTTCTTTAAGGTCACTAAGTCACAATCTCACCCTGAGGCCTCTACCCTCATGACCTACTCTAGCCTTAATGACCTGCCAGAGGGGCCCTGCCAAATACCATCCCAGTGAGGATTAGAGCTTCGGTATGTGAATTTGAGTCACCTTTGCATCCCGAAAATTTGTGTCTTTCTCACATGCATAATGCATTTATTCCATTTCCATAGCCACAAAAGCCTTAACTCATTTCAGTACCAACTCTGCAGTCTGAAGTCCAAAGTCTTCTCTAAATATCATCTGAGTTGAGTAGGGATGAGACTCAAGGTATGATTCATAGCAAAAACAAAAATTCTTCTTTAACTGTGAGCCTATGAAACCAGACAAGCTATGTGCTCCTAAAACACAATGGTGGAATTGGCATCAGGCAGACAATTCCATTCCAAAAGAGAAAATATGAAGAGAGAGGGGCCCCGGGTCCAAATCCAACCCCAGACATAGCAAGGAAATGGCCATTACATTTTAAGACACAAGAATGTCCCTTTTGACCATTGTACAGGATGAAATCCATTCTATTGGATAAAATGTCAGGCATAGAAAAAAAAATTCCCAGGTGTTCCCAAAAAGTTGATCACATAGAAGCAAAGAGCTCACTAGAAGGTAGGAGAGATAGAGGGGAAGGGGACAGAGAGAGGCTAGATAATAGGCCCAAATGCAACTGGGGAGAAGTTGTTCTGATGCTCTACACCACAGCGAAACAATGATGGCCTATGACAATGCATTTATACATTTAAAAATAACTGAAGAAGAGTTTGGAAGTTCCCAACACATAGAAATGACAATACATGAAGAAACAGAAACATTTATATGTTTATATAATGTTATATAATATAACACATACTGTGTTACTGTGATATAATATAAATATTATAGTATCAATGTCACATGTTCATTAAAAATAAAAATATAAAAGAATAATCTTCTTGGGATTAATGACCTGTGCTCCAGAACCCCGGCTTGGCAGCCTCACTTGCGTAGCTGAGGGCAGGGAAGGGAGACTCTTCAGTGGCTCTGCAGGACCTCTGTCCTCTGGGCTCACACGGCTGCCAGGTGTGGTGCTGCCCTGTGAAACCCTGGTAGGAAGTTCACCACAAGTCAGTCTATCCTGAATATTTACCTGCATATTCACAGCCAGATAGTAGTATGATCCTGCCTGATCTGAGTCTAAAATCTAAAAGTCTGATAACCTTTCTTCATTCCAAATCCTGCTTTCTTGTGCCCTGTAATTCAAACACTCAGTGTCTCTGCTAGTTTAATCTCATCTTTATCTCTGAGGCTTGCTGAGGCGCTAAATAAGTTCAGGAGTCACAAATATCACCTCTATCAATTGATAGTTCAGCCCTGTATCCTTAGGACTGTCTTCGGAATAAGCATCCTCTTACTTTGCAATACGGATAATCCAGTTGTTTTCCAAATCACCACATTCTGATTCCTTCTTTTTTTTTTTTAATTTTATTTAAAAGGAAAAAGAGAAAAAAACAAAACAAAACAGCTGTGTAAGGGTACAAGTAATACATAACTACAAAAAAGAAACAGTAAGAAATCACCAGTTAATAGATTACACATTATCATCTTATAGTTGCTCAAGTCACAGTATCAAAGTATACAAAGTGGACATTCAAACAGAGAGACTGCAAACAGTTGTGTTCAATGATCCAACCAAAAACATTAATATGGTCAGCTATTTAACACCCCTAAACACACTTGCAGTTGTATCCTTTAGAGCACTTTTTTCCCCTCTCTTTTTTACAACAAAATTCACACATTTTGAGTTTTATTACTCCTTAGTTCTTATTACTTTTTTTTTGGAAGAGAATAAAGTCAAATATGGCAAAACAAAGCTGTCAGTCAAAACCAAGGATAGACATAGCACATGATGTAAAACAGAGTACAAGGTTATCAACAATGGTTACCATAATGCCTCTTGCTTCCTTAAAAAGAATTGTCTATCTCATTAGGTATTATAAAGTTGAACAAAACAGTACAGAACAAGACCAATAAAACTTAAACATTGTAAACATTACAGGACTTCCAAAGCATTCCTTCTTTCTTAAAAGTTTTGTCTTTAATTTTCTCTTCTTTCACATTTCACTGTCAGTACTCAGGAGGAACTCAGCCTGACTACTTCAACATTTTGCCTTAAAATCTCTTCAGCTAGTTTTCGAGTTTTAATCTTCACAAGTTCTACCTGGTAGACATTAGAACATATCAACGGCAAGTTGGCTGCCTTTTTGTAACAAGGATCGCTTTTCTTTCAGTTTCCAGTAACGATCTTCATTTCTGAGATCTGAAAGTTATGCTTAACATCTGGATTTATAAGGTGCATCTCAGAACCCTTCTAATTGCTACTCAATTACCAGCTCCAAATGCTTCCAAATCATTAGATAGTTACAGAAGCACCTCAATGCTCAGTACCAGAAACTTTTAAGTTAACTAAGGATGCCTTGGAAAATTATGAGGTGTGACCACAAAGGAGAGGGAATGTTTAAATTTGAAGTGAATGTTTAAATTTAATCACAGTAAAAGACACATTGCCATAAATCCTTTAAAACACTGTCCTTTTCCTTAAATACACTTTTCCCATTAATCTTGCTACGTTCTGAAGCAGATCTGAAAGTTCTCTTTCAAGAATGTCTTTATTTGTGCAGTCCTGACTGCCTCAATGTCCTGAATCAATTCAAAGCATTTTATCTTTTATGGCCATTGTGACCTTGGGGAAGACCCAGAAGTCACTTGGTGCCAGCTCTGGTGAACAGGAGGTGAGGATGCATTGTAATGTTGTTATGAGCTGCAGTTCTGTAAGGGTAGCACTTGAATGCAGTCTTCATCTTATTTTTGATCACAACTTGTTAGTGCACTTACAACTTGTGTTTTGAAAATGAGGGGAAGTGGTATTAATGGCAATATGTCTTTTGTTATAATAATTGTACCAAGGATTGAATTTGTGCTTCCCAGGCAGACACTTATGCCACTGAGCTAAATCCCCAGCCCTATTTTAAAATTTATTTTTCCATTAATTTTATTGGTCCATTTTAGATATACATAATGATCACATCCACCACAGGGAATTTATAGTCATACATTTCCCATTACTGTCCCTTCAGCCCCTTATTTACAAAAGCTTTGTTTCCATTTTTTCCTTTTGTTCTCATTTTTTTTTCTTTTCCCTCCCTTCCTTTCCCCTGTATCCCTCCTAGTTCCCCATCCTATTTGAATTTGTTTTTCCTATTTCACAAAATATATTAACATTTTGGTCTTACAAGCATGTGTGTCTGATTTCGCTCAAGAATGTGGTCTCAAGATATACCCATTTACCTAGAAATGTACCAAGTTTATCCTTCTTTATGGCAGATTAGTACTCCATCAAGCTAAAAAACAAAAGCCCACATCTTTATCCATTCATTAATCAATGGGCATTTCAGTTGTTTCCGTGGTTAGCTACTACAAACCATGCTGCTATAAACATGGGGATAGATAAAAATATAGATACAAATACAGATATGCATATCTCACTGTAGTATGATGGTTTTAATTCTTTAGGGAATATACCAGGAAAGGGAATAACTGGATTGAATGGAACCTGTAGTCCTAGGTTTTTGAGGAATCTCCACACTGATTTACACAGTGGTTACACAAGTCTACATTCCTACCAGTAGAAAAGAGTTTCTTTTCCTCATACCCTCTCTAGCATTTATTGGTTGACTTCTTGATAACAGCCATTCTTTCTGGAATGAACTGGAATCTCCGTGTTGTTTTAATTTGCATCTCTTGAATGACCAGTGATGTTGAACTTTTTAAATATACGTTTCTTTATTATTTGTTTCTTCACCTGAGAGGTTTCTATTCATTTTTAGATGTCCGTTTTTGGATTTGGTCTTTAAATTTTGGAGTCTGGTTCTTTTTAGTTCTTTACACATTGTAGATAGTAGTCCTTGTCTGAGGAATAGCTGGCAAGATTTTTTCCCCCACTTTGTGTGTTGTCTCTTGGCTCTGTTGAAGATTTCTTTTGCTGTGCAAAAGCCTGTTAGTAAGACAAGACCCGAGTTGTTGATTCTTTCTGATGTTTTCTGTGCAATTTGGATTTTGTTACTAAAATCTTCACCTAAATATGTATTATCAAGAGTTATACTTATTCTCTCTTCCAACAAATTTAGTTTCTTTTTTAATATTTAGATATTTGATCCATTTAAGTTTTAGTTTAGTGCATGTTGAGAGATCAGAATCTAGTTGTAATCTTCAGCATATTGAAAACCATTTACCTTTAGTGAAGGTGTTTGGCTCATTTGTCAAAGATAAGGTGTTTGAGTGTATTTAGAGTTGTTTTTGCATCTTCTAATCTGTTCTGTTGCTCCTTAGGAGTATTTTTTGTTTTTTGTTTTCTTTTGTGCCAGTATCATGCTGTTTTTATAATGCTAACTTTATAGTATAATTTTAAGTTAGGGATTGTGATACTCCTTGTCTTGCTTTGTTGTTCTTGCTATTCTAGGTTTCTTCTGGTTCCAAATGAATTTTAGGATTATTTTCTCTAAATCCATAAGGTATGCTGTTTGTATTTGGGTTGGGATTACATTAAATCTGTGTAACACTTTTGGAACTATGGACATTGTCACTATCTTTGTTCTTCCTACCCAATAACAAAGGGTATCTTATAAAATTTTTAAAATTTAAACACACACTGTAATTTACTATTGGTTTTTCTATATCCATTGGGGGACTAAACAGAAGAAATGTGTTACCTCCAACATGAAAGCTGGAAATCTGAATTTAGGGTGTCAGCAAGGTCAAGATCTGTGAGGATTCTCTTCTTGGATAGTGGATGGCCACCTTCTCACCTCATGGTTCATAACTGGAAGTGGGGGTCATCATAATTCAATGATAATTTGCTCAGGGAGTCAAGATAAGTGCTTCCACCGTAACCAAAGAGGCTGTCATCATTGGGTCTGCTCCATTCACTCCACGGAACTCACGTCACATCTCAACGTTAATTTGTTCATTGTTCTTACTCTTCTGCTTCCCTGAGAAGACCATCATGACACTATTTGTGAGGCATAATCAGATTTTGATGAGCAGTTCATGTTAATGAAAGAGGACCCTCTCTATAAACCGGAAACATAGTTTTTTCCACGGACAGGACAGGTATCACCTGCTTTCACCTACTGATGGACTTTGCTTGCTTTTCTAAAGACGGTTAATGAATGAAAAGAGCATATTGATGTTTTTACAGACAAAAAGCAAAAGAATCACATCATTTACATAAAAGGAGAAACCTCCTCCTCAAGTTATTTCCTCAAATAACTTCTTCCTGAGGCCCTGAGTAGCCCTTAATGATTCAGAACAGACCTTGGAAACTTCCCATCAGATTTTGAGCTTAATCACAGTCTTCACTAACATACTCCTGTTAACCTGCTTTGTCCTCTCTTGGTATCTTAGTTTGCTGTTGCCCTTGAAGGGCAAAGGTCCATATCTTTAGTAGTTAAGATAGGTGCCTCTTTACTTTTGCACCAAAATCTTGCTTCCTTAGCTGTAGCTCTTGCTTTAGTACTCCTGAGACAGAAGTATGTAATTATAACACATCCTTTACTTGCTTGTCACATTTTACATTTCTTTCTTATTCATTTAGGCTAGTCTCGACTCATGATTTATATGTTGCGTTAGAGTTGTTTTATAAATTCGGTTACATATTGTAACTTTGCTTTGTACCTTGCATCTTCTCTCAAATGTATGTTTACATGTCTGCTGTCCAGGTAAGTATTTGTTTCTTTATTTAGACTTGTGACTACACTAACCTAGAAACTATATGGTTTTAGTCTCCATTGCATCCACCGTGCAGAACAGAGGTGCTGAGACATAGGCATTCACTAAGTGTTTGGCAAGCGCATAAATACATAATTGTGACATTTGATGAATTGAAGTGAAATTTTAAATTAGAACTAGAAAAGTAAGTTAAGTTAACTATAGATGGGTTGATTATTTTTATAATGAACCGACAGGCCATCAAGATGAATGGAATCTTTCGGTGATTTAGAACTATACTAATAAAAAATAAAAACTGAAAAACATTATATTCATAATGGAAACTAAAAAATACATTCAGGGCCAGGGAGTTAGCTCAGTGGCACAATGCCTACCTGGCAAGCATAAGGCCCTGAGTTTGAGTACCAAAAGTTTTTTTAAAAAATACATTTAACACGAGAAGTGTCACACTTGTACATTGCATGAAAACTGAAAATAATATTAAAGTAGCAATCTAAACGAATGAAAAGATATCCCCTCCCCCAGAATGTTAATTCACTCACATGGCTTTCTACAGTAAATGAAGAAAACCAAATACTCTTAGGCTACCTGGCTTGTGGCCTTAATTGGTTAGTCATTCAAGTTTATCCAATTATTTTGCTTTTGAGAGGGCAAAGAGACAATAGGTTTAGAAACAGCAGTGAATAAAAAATATAAAATAAAATAATTATGATAAAAATAAGTTATTAAAAATTATTATAAAAGAAAAAATTATTTAAAATTTAATAAAAAATTTTTAAAATTAAATTAAAATTATGATAAAAGAAAAATTGTCACCGGCATAAAGTCCTAGAAGCTCAAATAGGCTAAGCCTGACCCAACTCCTTTTAGTACATGTGGCAAGAGGAATATTGTGAAGTAACCTGTAGTGTCCTGTGGCTAATAAAAATGCACTTTGGTAATAGCCATAAAGCCTCAGCCTGACATTGAGCTGATGGTCCATTTCCCCCACCTCATTACCAAACTATAACACTTGCTGTTAAACCTTACTTAAAAAGAATGACAAGTTTGATCTCATCTTAGGGGTCAGCTCCTGGTACTTTAGGAGTCCATATATAATCAACATTGATTTATCCTGTGTAGCGTTGAGCCTTTCTTCCCGTTACCATTACTGAAGACTCATCCTATTGGTGACTACTCTTATTTATGTCTTCTGCTTTCTACACTTGTGTCACAAACAATGAGAACAACTCTCCTGAATTAGACACTCCATTGAGAACTTCCCTAGCTTTCCCAGCAGTCTCATCACATGACTCATTTTACAGATGTGGTAGCTTCCTTCTTACAGATAAACTGAAGCTCATAAATTGAGTTGCTGAGTTTAACACTCAAATCCTCCTGCCTTTGGAGCTCAACACCTGACTGCATTAACTCTTAATACTTACTTATTCCGAGGAAAATGTAGACCCTTTCTTTCCCCTCCACTTAGCTCATCAGTCAGTCAAACATCTGGAAAGGGCCAGGTAGGTGATGGATGTACGTATTCATATTAAGTTTCCTGTGGCTAATCTAATAGGGGAATATTATTCATTCAATAAAATATCAAAGACATATCAGGTGATAGGTCCTACGGACAAGAAAATGAGTGTTGTATACTTTCTAGCAATATATTGCTTACATTTCACATAAAAACATACCTGTTGTTTAAAGGTCCTATTGATACAGTCTGCCCTCTAATGGACAGCTGTGAAAACATAATTCATTTCCAATTTTTCCACCAAAACTACAGATAAACTTGTCGAATATCTTTTTTAAGTTTCTGCTTCATTGTAAAGTTCTCCACTTCACCTTCCACGGAACCAGGGACTCCTAACATTTGAGACTGACCTTGGTGTTTTTCAGAACCACTTTCTATCTTGAACTTTCTCATTATGTTTCACATAAGAGAAAAGGAGGATGTGGTAAAAATGTGGCTCTCTTTATAACAAACTCATGTAATTTTTAAACTTCAGTTTATTGGGAACTTGCCCAATACTTATGTAAACACTTATATAAGTTACCTTAAAAACAGTTTCAGCCCAGCATCTCAGAGTCTGTCAGTCCACTGAAATGTTTTGTTTCGATCAGTGAAATTATCAAGTGTTAAAAACTATGATATTTCACAAGAAACTCTAGGTTTCTGGCATCTTTTTAAAACTGCAATGTCTGCCATTGTTGACCATATCCACTGTGGTAACAGTATTCCGCTGAATGAGTCATAATTCATTGTTTGGACGTTTAGCTTGGAGACATTTGGGCACCTTTTTCTTTTGCCTTATAAAAATGAAGACTCAATTCTTCTCTCCCTTAAGAGACCATATCACATTCGCTCCAGCACTTCCTGTAAGGAAATTGTGCACATGTTTGAGACCGCTATTGTGACTTACCCTTCTGCCTGGTCACAGGAAATGGTGTCACTCCTTAAAAAGGTAAGAGCGTGCATCAAAAAAAAAGTTATAAAAGGAAGCATGTTTTCTGCTTTAATGATAGAATTTAGTATATATAATATTGGGCCAGTTTTGATCATACCATTTCTAGAGTGTTTGTTACAGCTAACAGCCTTCAAAGAAGTGTCTTAAACCAACCCAAATATACTTGTGTTTCTCAAACTCACCGTCCAAAACGCAATCCTTAATCTCGCTGTATTTCCTGGCTTTCTGGTTTCTCTTTGAAATAATCCCTCTGTCCACCGACTCACGCAGTCCCAAACCAGGGCTCATTCGTCATGTCTGTATCTAAAGTTGTGAAAATTTTATGTTTTAAGTATCTTTCAAGTTTTTCACCTGTCTTCATCTCTGCTAATACCTTGCCAGTTCACCTGTCAGCAAGTTCTCCATGCTTCCTGAGCCGAGTGTCTTCCTGTGGGTTTTAGAAGGAAAAGCAAAATAATTTGCACAATACAAAGTATTCTAACTACCTCTCAAGCCTTATTTTGAATTTTTGTCCCCTTTTGACTACACATAAACTGCTTTGGCTTCCTTTTCTCTATCTCTCTCTCTCTGTCTCTGTCTCTCTCTCTCCCTCTCTTTCTCTCTCATTCTCCTCCCTCATGTCTGCTCTTACCACATGGCCTTTGCATATACTCATGTCTTTATAGAATAGCATCACTCACCCTAGATCCTTTAGCTCTCTTCTCGGAGTTACTACTACTCAATAAGATTCATGGGCTGGTTCTTAATCCATGAATTTACTTCTTAAAAGTCCATATAAATACAGAAATTAAGAGCATTTGGAAACATTCCTAGCAATTTGACAATGCTGTAGTATCTAGTCAGATGGTCAGTGGACTTGCCTCATTGAATAGCTTTGAACTTGTTTAGCTGATACAGAGCTCCAATCATGACTTGTGTATGGTGTGGAGCTGCATGCTAGACATACACAAAAGGACAGTGTGTTTTGTTTGAATGGGTTGGGAAAACAAATAAAAATATCTGGCCTTTCTACGTAGTTTGAGAAGCACAACTTCAGATCTTAGCTCACCACTCCCCTTAGGAGCCTTCGTCTGCTATCAGCTCCCTACAGCTCTTTCCCTTTATAGTTTTTTTCTTGGTTTGAAACAATACCTAGAATTGTTGTGACCCGTGGGTCAGTGCTTATACTATCATAAGCTGCATGAGGGTAGGGACTGTGTCTAACTGTAACATATTGCTCTCAGCATCTAACAGAGCCTGACAAGTAAACTTGGCTAAATATTTGAAAGAATGAGGTCCACAGCTTTTATGAGACTTGTGATGCCTGCGTTGACCAGAGGTCTAAACCAATTGTATTACCAGCTCACTAGTTTATTTTTAATAGTAAATCAAAGTATAAGGAGCCCAAGAGGATGGGCTGAGCTTTCCTGTGTTTGTGGTTGGATTTATTTTTTTAATTTTTTCCCCTTAAGGAGAGAAAGTTGCTCAGGTTGTGGCTGGTAAAGGAAAAAAGCTTTACAGGCTAAATGTTCAAAATCTATGCCCATGGTTTTTGGGGCCCAGTTTACTGTTCTGGGGTAAGGATACTGTCTCTAGTAATGGCAGGGATGAAGGGTGAGGGCTTCCCTCAGCAAATGTTTCTCAGTTCCAACACAAGCTTCATTCACCCCCAAATTACACCTTGATATTCCATGACTGTCCTCTTAAGACCATTCTCAGGTGAGCCTGACATTTCCCGTTTGAGCTGCACCATTGATGGAATGTTGGCTTTGGAGTAGTTATCAAGGAAAAATCTTAAATTCATTAGTAAAAACCGGAACTGTAACTTTAGTAAGTTATGTTATATCTGTGTTGCCTCCAATATATTTTATTTAACGATAAAAAAAGCTAAAATTTTTAGGGAAAACCAGTTTCCCTTGTGAACATGTAAGAACATTTACCTCCTAATACTAGTGAACACTCTATAAAACTCTTTACGTACAGGGCCTCATGTAATCCTGGTTACAGTCTTATGAAACAAGTTACTGTTTCTTTTTTGCAGATTGGTAAATTGAGCTTTAGAGACAAATGTGTCCATAGTTAGTAAGGAGGTCCAGGGATTGAAGACATGTTTGATTCCGTAGGGCAAATTAGTTCCTGTTCCAGTGAGCTATTATGTATGTTATTTGCAGATGAGGCCAAGAGCGGCATTACCTTGAGCCCTTCAATCCTACATGAAAACATTTAAAGGGAGTGTGCATGATTTTTTGCCCCCTGAATTTTGACCTTACTGACCTCACCGTCTGTATTCCACTGACAGCTGCTTGAACCTAATCCAGACCAGCGTTTCTCTCGCTTGAGCGACATTCAGAGCTTCCCGTATATGAGTGACGTGAACTGGAATGCAGTGTTTGAGAAGAGGCTCGTTCCAGGCTTTATCCCTAACGTGAGTCCATCTTGATAAACCTGTGATAATCTCCTTCGGGGCACATTCTCCTGTGTGCTCGATCGCTGCACTGTTTTATTTACACAAGTGTAAAAGAGCCCAAATTCCTACCTTACAGACAAGTATTCCGAGGTCCCCGTGGGGTAAGTTGACCACCAGAAGTCACACAGCCAGCAGATGGCCACGCTAATTTAAGTACAACTGGAGTTGGATCTAAAGATCCTAAAAACATTTTGTGCTGAGTTTTTGTTGGAAAGACGTTCTAGTCTCCCAAATAGTCTTTTCTATGACTATGCTGGTGGAAAACTGTTCTCTAATTCCAAAGATTTAGTCATTTGTGCCTGTGAAAGTCTGTGAGCCAGAGAATTGAAACTATTGAGGGCAGGGTGAGAAATCGATTTTTACCATTCACCCCTCTTCCTTTGCTAGTTTTTATTGTTTGTTTGTTTGCTTGATACTAGAGATTGAACTTAAGGTCTTCACACTAAGCTATATTCCCAGCCAAATGTATAACTTCTATTCTGAGTGAAAACCTTCTCACTAAATTGTCCAGACTGGTCTTGGATTTGTCATGCTCGTCCCTCAGCCTCGTCCCCCAGAGTGCTAGAATTACACGCATGCCCCATCACTGGCCCTTTGCTAGTTTTATCTCTTTGGGCTATAAATTTAAGGACTCATCACCAAAAAATAATGTCCAAGCCGAGGGATATCTTTGTCTCAATGCACATTGCTGGTAAAAGCCGAGGCTAAAGGTCCCTAGTGAGGTTTCTAGTTCCTTCACTCTCAGTCCGGGACTGCAATATGCATTTGGGTTGAGGAATGCATACCTGGGAAGACTAAGGAAGAATAACATCCCCTTCCAGGACTTGAAGAAGCAGTCCAGAGTGTTCTGTGCAGGCCCTGACAAGGTGCTTGCTGTGGGCGCTCCCGAAAAGAGCTAGGCAGCCTTGCTGGAGGGTGAAAATGCAAATATGGGGAAATAGTTTTAAGGGTGGAACAACAAGAAAGCGAGACAGTGTTCTCTCTGGCCATTATGTGGGTGCAGCAGCAGGCAGCTCGTACCCTGGTTGGTGCCTGACACGTGGAGGCCTGGCTAGCCCCGTGGTTGCTCCCAGTCCCAGTTCGTCATTCACATTACCCTGAGATATGCTGGGCCTTGTGGATCTCTGGTGTTACTGTGAATTTGAATTATCTGGGGGCTTCTTAAAGGCCAGTTTCTCAGCTCGTCCTCCTGATTCGAAACCTTGATCTGGGAAGTCTGGTTTGAGACCCAAGAGGCTGAACCAAGACCCAGGTGTCTCGGCTCACATGGTCATTAGAAAAACTATTGAGAAACTCAGTAGCTCAAACTGCAGAAAAATAATTTAGTTTATCTTTCTTCCTCTGCAAGAGCTAATGGGAGGTTTAAAAACAATAAACAAAATGTAAAATCAAAGAATAGGAAAGATCATGCTGGCACGAACTAGAATGGGACTCCATGCTTGTCCCAGACAGCTCTGTTAAGTGTTAGACACAGCATCAGGCTGGGTGTGATCTTAGAATGTCACAGAGATCTGAAGGCTCAGCCCGCCTGTCTTCCTTGCAGAAAGGCAGATTGAATTGCGACCCCACCTTTGAACTGGAAGAAATGATTCTGGAATCCAAACCTCTTCATAAGAAAAAGAAGCGTTTGGCAAAGAAAGAGAAGGAGCTGAGGAAATGTGATTCCTCTCAGGTAACTAAGCCCTGACATGACTCAGGGTCAGAGCGTCTGTCTGGAAGGCACAGGCTGCACCCTGCAGGACGATCATCTCAGCACCCTGCATCTGCCAGGTGGAGGGGGCCCTGTAACTAGGAGGAGGCCACAACAGTGACCAGTAGCCTCATGGGTTCCTCTCTGGTTAGAAACAGCATTCAGGGAGCAGCAGACACAGCCCGGGATCTGGAGGCCTGGGCCTTATTTCCCGCTGTGGTTCCTGCAAACTGTGTGCAAACCGCTTTAGAGCTGCTCCCTGCCAAGTGCTCAGAGAGGGATGGTAGCTGGGGCCGTGCTAAGAGCTCAAAGTGACAGTAATTAACTGCTCTTTGCCACCCACGTCTTCCCAATGGAAGTTCTGAGGCTTTTATACACTCCAGTTTCCAAATTGTTACATCAGACAGATTTACCGGTGCACTTGGCTAAATGGAGAGATTCCTACTCTGCCCCCGCTCCAGGAACTTCATTTAGTTTCCCTTTCAAAAGCTACTTTGCTGTTTATGTGGGCTGTTTGTTGAACAGACGAATCTGTAGGTTATTGACTATTTGAAGATCCTCATTCATCTGTTAATGATTCCTCTATTTTTCCCCGCTGTTCGCCTGGTGAAGATGGATCTTCTTCAAGAACATCTTGAGTCTGTCCAGAAGGAATTTATAATTTTCAACCGAGAAAAGTAAGTGAGTTCTAGGAGACAGTAACACAGAAAATGATTTTTTTTTAGGGATTTAATACATTTGCAGGGATTATTTTTAAACTTTTTTTTACTTTTTACAGTCACACACATGGTGTATATCTATTATGACTTTTTTTGAAAAATTTTATCTTTTTTTTTCTTGTAAGGGACTTAAATTCTTTTTAGTAGATTAATTGGCCTAGGATCAAGTATTTGTCTATGGGAAAGACAGGAGATGGGATACAACATTTACAATCAATGACTTTTTAAGGTTTCCTTGGTTCATATCTGTTTATAAATTACTAAGTATGAGATAATATTTCAAAAAAGCTTAAGGTTTGCATTTCTTTTTCTCAAAGAGTGAAACTCTTCTTTTCTTTTAAGAGTAAAAAGAGATTTGAATAAAAGACAAGCAAATCTAGCCTTGGAACAAACCAAAAACCCACAAGAAGAAGACAGCCAGAATAACAACCTGTAAAGCCCTTCTGGGACATCTCTTGGCACCTCACGCCAGAAACTCCTGATTGTCCACTGCAAGAAGAGCTGGCAGTAGTTCTTGGCACTCCACACCTCATGCTTAGGAATGTGAGGAACATCGTCCGCACGATGCAGCTCCATCCAGTGAAGAGTCCCTGGGCCTGAGCTCCTGGGACCTCGCTTCATCACTGATTGACTCTGTGTGACCTTGAGCAAGTCACTTAATCCTCTTTCTGCTTGGGTTCATTCATCCAGCAGGAAGGGGGTTATATCAGCTGAGTCTACCTTGCCTTTTTTCTGCCACGATTGCTATTCTACATGACCTTTATATTTTAAAAGAAATACCTGGATGTAGATTTATTTTTCCATTCCCTCTGATTGCACTCTGATGAATGGACATTGGAAAGAGTGAGATTCTTCAGAGCCAGAAAACTTCATAAAGAGTTCAAAATTCCAAAGCCCGCTTAGGTAGGAATGAAAGGTTTCATCAGCAAGAAAGGTATAGGGTCAGATGAGAAGGAACATAGGTTAATAGGACCTTCAGGGGGAGCCTGTCCATCTCCGGTCAGGTAGCCTGAGCTTGGTAATGATGAAAAGATTCCTAACACGGAAATCTCCTAATGCCGCAAATCAGGGCAACTTTTTTTTCTGCCTCTTTTAGCAAGCTAGTTGTTAATATTAGCATACCACTTCCCTTCCTCCATTGTGCATGATCATTGAGGGCTGGATGACCCGGGAAGGTTAGCAGAGATTACATCGGGAGAGGATTGGAAAAATATTGTCGTACTGACAGTGTGTTTATTCCGCAGTTCAGGCAAATTGCAAGGATGCCTCAAAGTAAAACGTACACATTACTATTAACTGAGAAATTTTCCAGTGCTACTGGGTGGAATCATAAAGTGAATAGGTTTTGTGGAGGACTGTGTTAACCTTTTAACAAAAGATCATCTAGACCCATCCCTGCCAAGGCAGAGTAGAGTCTCCACCATGGCAGTAAGCAACAGAGAAGACCAGAATGTCGCCCCTTTGAAAAGCTGGACGGGCAGAAATAGACAAGAGAAGAGAGAGACATGGCTGCCCGCAGCTGCAACAGAGGATTTAGAGGGAGGTCACATTGGGGCAACTAATTATGGATGGAAAGCTAGGGTTAAGCTTAATATCAACATTTATAAATTAATAGGCCCAGAATTTCTGGCCCAGTTGTGAAATAATATCTTTAAGAGCAACCGTATTTTTGTTAAAAAAAAAAAAAAATTTTGTCTGTGTGGTTCCTTTTCTCTCAAGTTCCCACATGTTATTTGCCTATGCTATTTTGATTTTTGCCCAAACATTGTAAGCTCAGAGCAATTGGTAGGATTTTTAGAGGACGATGGGTTTACAAGCAGCCATGGAAGGCGGACAGAACTCAGCCTCACACTGGTAACTCCACGAGCATCCAGAGCTGTCAGCATGGCTGCCCATTTCCCTCCTTTGATCTCTATTCAAACCTTGATGTGATGTGGGCTCAGGTCTCCTGCCACTTGGTTCCTCCTCCTGCTGAGACCTCGTGTGCATCCTCAAAGGAGAATTTTTCAGAAATGTTTATCAAGACTCAGTGGGACCAGTCCACTTGCCAGGTTGAAAGCTAAGGGTGTGTGCTGTTTCATGGCTGTACAGTGTAACTTAGGATAGGAGCCCACACAAACGCTGTGGTTTGAATCCCTTGTTCTTATTACCTGTACATGATTTCTATGCCTGAAACACCGTTGTCGATTTTCAGAACCAGGGACTCACCAATGAGAGCACAGTGCTTGGGGATTCCCCGGGCCACTCACATGATGGGCCACAGTGTGATTTAAGAATTGAAAAGCAATGAGTCACGTCTATAGCTCAATGGTAGAGTGTGTACTTAGCACACATCAGGACCTGTGTTTGACTCCTTACACCATGAAAAACAAAGGTGACAAAATAAATAAAGGCACTCACTGGCAGAATAACTAATTCAAAGAACTTGTACATTTTAAAGATGCAATGGAAAAACTTTCCAAAAACAAAAGGCCTCCTAAACCCTTATGCTGATTGTTGTTGAAGGCAGATCTGTTGGTTTTATCTCTTCACTTGGGCTAGAAGTCCATAGTCCACTGAATGGAACATGTCTCATCTGGATTCCTGATAATGCTCAGAGCTGAGAATTTTAAAAAACAGGATGATAAGGGCAGTTCTATTTTGTGGCGCTCCTGGAATCCTTTCTCCTAACAGCTTCCTCCCTTATCTGCATAGAGCATCTGAAAAGCCTGACAAAGCTTTGAAGGTCAGAGCATCCTGATTACAACACTCTGGCACTGCAGCAGAACCTCACCTTTGGTGCATCCAGTGACCTCAGAAGATTAGGAGGGGCCAAGCCCCAAGACCCCATTGGGGGTGCCAACACCATGGAGGGACATGTTGTGCTAATGGGTAACACATGGCAGCGTGGTTTGGGCTGAGGTCACTGCCAGGTTAGGAATAAACTTCAAGCAACACCCAGTACTACTTAAATCAATTACTGGAATCTGATTAGTCGTTAGGCTTCATGTAATAAGAGACTTTTACCCAGAAATGACATTTTCTGTCATTATAGCATTCCTAGATTGAATGCATGAGTAAATAACTAGCAAGAGTGTATTGGTGCAGCTGTGAGTGGACAGTGTTGCTGATGAGTGATGCAAAGGCTAACGCACTTCAAAAGCTGAATGAAAAGGCACGAGAAGCATTGAGTTTCAGTACCCAGCTGTCCCTGTACTGTCTACACAAAATCCTGTTACCCACTTCTGTCCGCCCGGGTTTCCTGTGTATTACAAGCTCAGTGTGTCTGTATGTTAAAATCCCAGACTTCACTTTTCTATGCTGTTGTCAACTGGCAGCTTCCCAGGCAGCCCTTGAATGAGAAGTGTTCTTCCGTTGAGCTGTAGCCTACATACAATGTAAGTGTGCCTGTGTGTATTAAATGTCTTGTGCACCATCAAGCCATCGGCCTTTGTCACCCGTGTGCGTCTGTACCATGTGTTTCCCCTAGAGGTGCTGTGGAGGGTGCCCAGTCATCTGTTGTTACTTCATAACCTGCTGTGAATGGCCCTCAGCAGAGATAAGGAGGTGTTAGAAGGGGTATTCAGGAAGCGTGAATGCAGGACCTACCTACCCACCTGTATAAAAACCACGACCCTTCACCCTTTGGGTGAGTTCACACTTCGGGGAACTCAGCCCGAGACCCCACTTTGTGCCTGTCACTGTGACCTCCAGTTCATGTGTAGACCACGAGCCTCTTTTCTCAGCAGCCCACCCCTTAGGATCCTGTCCTGTTTCATACATCATAGCACAGATGTTCTAAGGCCCATAATCTGGGATGGGTGGAGAATAGAAAACTTGTAACTCTTGCTGATAGCAGCAGCTTCTGCCTCAGGAGAAAAAAGGAGCTTTCAGCTAACAGCTCAGGCCTGCAACAGCTAGCAAACCATGGTCTCCTCAGCCTGCTTACTTCAGGCTCTTGGGATTCTTATGGGCCTTGAAGTGCTGCATACTGAGTACTCAGCTGTTTAGGTCCTCTAAGTGACCTGCTGTGTTGGTCGCAGAGGCCAGCTGAGTGAAGTGCAGGGTCTAGAACTCTTTAGATTCTGAAGAGGCCCAGCCTTAAAGATGAGGACGTTAAAAAAAATATGGTGAATCTAAAATTTACTTTTGAAAAAATTTATTACAGCAAGACACATCACCGTTAATTCTCTTCACAACATTCTATCTTCAAATACTCACCTTAAGCAATTCTAGAAGTCTCCTTTTAGAGTGTCTGTTGTGCTTTTCCTCCCTGCCCTGAGGTCCTGAATTTGTTCACACCATTTACTTTTCATGATCATTGGTACTCAGGAGAAGAGGCCAAAGTTGCACAGTGCTCCGTCAGAGCAGTGAATGAAGACACAATATTATTTTTGGGAGCCTTTACCTGCTGTATTTTCCATCATGCCCTCAGACACTGGTGAAAAAGAACTTACCTGCTTCAGAAGGTGGCTACAATGATCAGACACATTTATCCAAACTGAGGGAGATATTCTGCAGGGGACTGATGACGTGCCTTTTACTATACTAAAGTTTTTAAAGTATAGTTTGGTAACACCTCACATGGGATTCATTTCTGCAGGCTGTTCTGGTGCTTCTGCTTCCCATTTCCTGGCCGTGGTTGCTGCCCACTTCGTGACCGGTTGGTGTTAGAGCTGATTTAGAAGGTTCTTTGGAGCCAGAGAACCCTTGTTCATATTCATTCCCCACTGCTCAGAAGGGACTCAGCCACTCATCTCCAGTCTACAGAGGTGTAACAGTCAGTTGGTGTGTTTTTCACATTTACAGCTATCGCTTCATCCCTTTGCATCCTAAGTTCATTGTAAGTGCTGACTGCTCCCTTCAAGCCCCTTTGAGTCCTCAGGGGAGCTACATTCCCTGCCCTGACTCAGAAGAGGTGTTCCACCAGTTCAATGCTTAAGCCATGAGGTGATGCACCAAAGCGTATTAAAAATGTAACCTTGAACCTCAACTGTAAAACAATTCTTCATGTGCCCAGGCCAGCAGTTACCTGGTTTCCGAGTTTGTTAAAAGGTACCCTCACTGTACCAAAGACACTGTTCTCCCAAGCCAAGAGGCCTCACTACATGTAAGAACACTGAATTAGAATTGGCTTCTCCCAGGCTCGCTTTCCTTTCCGGCCTGCCCCAGCCCGTGCATGAACCTGTGGGGCATAATCATGCCTGGCAGTCCTGAGAATGGTGCAGCGGCTCTGCCTCTGCCTTCCCAGCATCCACCCTCTGCCTTAGTTACTTTATTTTCTCTGTGGAATCACAGACTCCGTGAAGTGCACAGCTCAGGTGGCCCCAGCCCAAGGACTGGGCCTGTGACTTGGTACAGCCAGCTCAGTGTGGTCAATGGCCTGTGACCGTTCATGGTGTACACATGACTCAGCACAGGCAGGGTCCATCTCTGGATGAAGCTAAGGCTAAAGATACGTAAGCAGGTGAAATGGAAACCTAGAGATGCCAATGATGGCTTTGCTTCCAAGTGGAAAGGGCTTTAATGACAAGGAAGCACCTGCTGGTGGCCAGCAGCGCTGAGCAGGACAGCAGCACGTTTCTGACACCAGGGCTCAGCACTCCCACCTAGGAGGCTACTGTCTGCCCAGACTCATCTGTGAGCTTCTCAGTTGGACTAGATTTTAAAATTCTTCCCAAACCTCCACCCTCATCCCCATGCAGGTAGTCTAATCTTTCCAGTGCAGACTGACCTGTACAAGTTAGTACTGGATTCAGCGGTGCTGTCCCACAGCGATTTAGTATAACTGGTTTGATGGGATGTGAAAAGATGACGTGGGGTAGAAGGGTTCAAAACCCTGGACTGGACTTGTATGTTGTTACTGTTTTGTCATGTGGAGCATCCAACCCAGGCCATGCCTGTGCTGGACCAGTGTACGGCCACTGAGCACCCCAACTCTTTCTTTATTTAGGGTTTCTCAGAGCCCTTAGTCTGCTGATGAGCACCTCAGAGGAGCAGGCACAGCAAGCAACTGTTTTTAACATTCAATTGACTCCCTGAGAAAAGATTGTTAAAGAATATACTGCAGCATGCATTTAGTTGGAGTTTTCTTGCCCAACTCTAGGCTTTTAAAAAGGAGAAAAACATGTTAGCCAAGCAAACTGACAGCAAAGCTTTAAGAGATGACCAAAGAAAAATCTTTTAGGTTCTCTCCTGGACTTGATTAGAATTACCACAAATGGTCAGGCCTTCGACACTGATACTAAATTTGATGGTTTACAGGAAAATCCTAATCATTCCCCAGTGTTTCAATAATGGTTATCAGTCTCTGTGGTCTCAACTAATAACTCAGCCTCAGTCAAAACACAGAAACCACAAGACACTGGTCACTCTTCAGGTGGCCACTGTCCCCAGACGTGCCCCTCCCACTAACTTTGTCTTCCGTGCAATTTTGACAAGGTGAGATGGCGCATCACACACAGAAGACTGGAGAGCAGCGTTGATAATTTTACAGTTATTTTAATAACCAGGTTTACATGAACAGTCACTTGATGAATTTGTCTTTAATCTCAGCTAACTCAATACACGGTTTTCTTCACGGTTCAAACCTGACAGCTCTTGTGTCCTGAGCTGCCGCACAGCTAGCACAGATCACAGGGAGGGTTACTGTCTGTCCACACCCACCAGACACGGAACGGAACACCCACACAGCACTTCTCAAAGGGGGGACTCACGAGGATGCCAGCTGCCCAGACAGCCCCAGTACAGCCAGGACTCACTCTGGGCTGGTCCACGGGAGGGTTCTGGGAGACTCGTGGCAGGAACTGAAGTTGGGAGGTGTCCGCCCTGTTGGAAGGGGCGTTGCGAGGTGAGGAGCTCGGAGCCCAGGCTCCGGCTTTAGGTTTGGAAGATGAGAAAGACTTTCTGGGTACAGCCATGGAGAACAATGCCACAGTGAGTGGACTTGGAAACGAAACGCAATTGCAGCATGACTATAACCCTTCTTGTTTTTGGACATAAAAGAAATCGCTAGTTAGAAGTTCCATACATAAACTGTGAAGTACCCATCCACCCTGGGGGCCCTCACCAAAGCATTCCGGTGGGATGAGAAGGAGAGGAAGCCAGGAAGGGAGTGGCGAGGTCATCCTCAGAGGAGGGGCCAGGCCAGGAGGCAGACAGGAAACACCAGCTCAGGAGACAGGAGACCCATTATTACCCTGCCACCGGGGTGAGAGGCCAGCAGGCCTGGAAAGAGGGGGCCAGGTTATTTCTTACCCTCTATGCCCTTTGCATAGGGCTGTTCAGTGGGTCTGTGGAACAGATCAGTTCTGAGTACACATTTTAACTTAATGTGATACTCAGCATATGCATTAAAGTAAGGGGGAGAGTCCTAGGAATCCTGAAGACTCTCTACCCCCGAACGTTTAATGGAGAGTGAAGGAAGGGTGGCTTCCTAAGATGGCACGCTGAGGTTATCGTGAGAGCATGGAAAGCTCACACAGAACAGAAAAGTTTTGGTTGAATGCTGCATTTCGGAAGCCCCAAGTGCACTGCCGATGTCCAATCGGCCCATAGAAAACTTACCTTCTGGGCAGTGAGAACCCTGGGAGCAGGAAGGGTGACTGAGTCAGGCTCCTGCCCACAGAGCAAATTGTGCAGAAGGCCCTGCCCATGCTAGGGTTTACTCACATGTCTCTTCCTCCATCTGGTGGACATGACTGGTACTGCTACCTTTCTGAAGCCTAGCCTGGCTACTGAGGTATATGATTTCAATCCAGCACACTCCCTTTGCCTGTAACAGTCATTTTGAGATCCTTGGTAGGCTCTCAAATATTTGAACCATGAATTAAAGCTGATTTTTTCCCCTTGAACTAAGGTTTTCTTTAAAATAAAAGCACCATGAGAGCCTTAAAACAGCAAGGTTTCCTATTAGGAGGTGAAAGTGTTTTCATTAGAACAGAAAGCTGCTTGCGATGGGAAACACTTTTTCCTGGCTATTTCTAAATTCTTTGTAGCTAAATGATCACTTTTATCTCATCTTCAGTTTATTAAAACCTGCAGTGAGGGCTGGGATACAGCTCAGTGGCAGAGGGTTTGTCTAGTATATGGGAGGCCTTGGGTTTAACCCCCAGCACCACAAAGAAAACAACAAAAACAACTGTGGTCAGAGACAGCGGTTTCTTCTAAGCACTTAAAAGGTGCATGAGGCCTGCTCTTCTCTTCAAAGTACTTAGTACACAGGGTGTTACCAGCTGGATTCCCTGGGGCACAGAAGGCTGACCAACCCCAGGATTAAGGTATTCCTCCTGTGTAAGGGAGGGGGTATCTCAGGTCTGCTCTCCACACTGTGGCTCGCTCACAGAATCTGCTCCAAAACTGAGTTTTCAGAGGTGGCCTGATAAGGAAATGGACACAGCTCTGGCTGACAAGGGTGACGCAAACTCCCCGCAAATTCCCTTCACACACCCCGTATCATGTCACTGCAACTCAGTCGGAGATTTTGGTACCAAAACAAAGGTTGTCCCATGTATTTACCAATGCAAAAAGAAAGAGATGGCTTACAACTGAGGAACTGAATCAGGCTTGCAGAATGTGCTCTCTCTCATTAAGACTAACTTTCCCACATCCCTGCTTGATTCCCATGGAAGCTGAGACTACCTATAATTTAAGGAACTAAAATATAGACTGCTTTGATTAAAGAGTCCTATGCAGTCACTGATGTGCTTGGATCTCAGGAGGTCAGGAGAACCCCACACCCACCACTGGTCACAGAGGCCCTGCACTGTGCCCCTCTGCCCCAGCAGCTGGTCAGAGGACGGTGCATCTTGGCTTCTGCTCTCCACCCAAGAGCCTGAGCTGCGTCCTCAGTCGTTGCCTTTTAAGAGCGCCTCAGAGGCAGGGAGGACAGAGGGAGAGGTGCATGGTTTGCTCCTCCCTATCCCACCTTCCCCACCCAGGAATGGGGAGGGCTGGAAAGCAACACCAAGAAAAAGGCCCAAACAAACACCAGCATAACCAAGCGGGTGGAAGAAATGATTGGGTTTTTGGTGTTTTAATAAATGTTCAAAGAAACAAAATCTACTCGGTACTGGGACGGGATGTGACAAATCCAGAACCCAAAGTCGAGCCCACCTTCTCTGCAGACTCTAGGAGACCACAGTAAGTGACCGCTGCCCTAGCGGCCCCTCCGTGGACATAAACGTACATCATCAACACGATACACAACACCCTTTCTGCTCACCCCGCCCACCCACCTCCCTCCTACACACCCGACCCTGTCCCCTCGGTGCCCTCCACCTCGCTCTGGGCTCCCGCCACCCACTCACCCCCAAAACCTGCGTCCCTCGTTCATTTCCCTGACCTCCCAGCTTTGTCTGTCCCCTTGTCGTAAGATGCAGCACTACACACGCTCTCAACACTATAATATAGCAGACTCTTTTACCTTAGTGGCCTGTCTGGTTGCATGCATGTAAATGGGGGAAAGGGTCCAAAAAAATCAAGGCTATGCATAAACAGAAAACAAAGCAATATTTGTAAAGCTAAGCAAGCGAGCTTAACATGGAGAAACATAAGGCTTGAGGCTTATTGATTCTTTAGATCGCAACCATTTGGACTTGCTTTCCTTCTTAAATATCGGTGTACCATTTTGGCTTCAGAAAAATCTCTTCTTGCTTCTTCCCCGCTTTGGAGAGAGGCTGCTTAACTCAGGGATGTGATATTCGAGCGGCCTCCAGGGGGCGCCACGATGCGCTTGCTGGCTGAACGGACTCCCTCATCCACTTGGGTGCCTGCAAGTAGAAATCCCCAGGAGGAGGGAAGAGAAAACGAAAAGGAAAGGAAAGGAGAGTGGTATGAGCAAAACAAGCTGATTAATTTTAAGATACTATGTGCCTTCCTGCTGCATCATCCCCGAGAAACTGACACCAAGTCTTGGATTTTTCGTATTCGTTCTCTGCTTCTTGAAGGAAAGACTAAACTCTTATCAAAGCTTCATCTGCATGGTCACAACGGGAAGGAAAGTATTGGTAAGGATGCAAAACACAGCTCCTTTCAGAACGGTGGTGGCAATGTTTCAAGAGCTCAGCCATCATCTCCTGCAACTCTCAGCACCATGGCTGGTGAAGGGCTGCTGCCCCTGCTCCTGCTGCTGCTGTGGAGGGCAGGGCTGGAGTTCAGGGAGGCAGGGGCACCTGCTTAAGGCCTCCCAGCCGGAAGTGGCTTCTCAAAAGGAAGCAATGTGCTCTTGGGTCCATTCAGAATGCAGCCTTTAGAAGCCAGGGTGCAGTGCAAACATTAAACATTGAAACACTTACTAAAGCTGCTCACAATCAGAGCCAAGCGTGGTGGCACACACTTGTTATCCCAGCACTTAAGGGGCTAAGGCAAGAGGATCATTGCAATCATTGCAAGTTCGAGACCAGCCTGGGCTACAAAGTGAGCTCAAGGCCAGCCTCAACTGCATAGGAAGACCCTGCCTCAAAAAGACAAAAAAAACAAAAACAAAAACAAAAACTACTCGCAATCAGCAGGATGAGACCTCTGTAAAGTTACCCCAACGCCTTGAACATGCTGTTTTCCCACGCTTCTTATCTCTTTTTCTCTTGTTTTTTCTTATTCCTATTCCATTCCCTATATGCTGTGATTTTTTTGCCTTAAATATAACTCTTATTGTTTCTCTCATATTTAAATTGTTCATGATACAAATCTATCACTCTCCCGTTTGAAGACACCTCGTTATAGAGCAATTACATTTCATTTATTTCAGAGCATTCTTGAATAAATAAACTTCAGGACTAAGCCATACTGAATGTTCAATCAATGGAAGCTGCTGTTAGCATCATTACTAGTATGGAGGAGAGAAGATAATAAAAGTCCCTAGCTAGAAGAAGCTAACAATTTGTGCATAAGAATAACAGGAGCATTTCTTTAACTGGTACAAGTTTAAAACTACACACAATATGCATTATAAAGAAGAAAATCACTATTGATTCAGAGTGAAAACCAGCTCCCTTGCCCTGCCCCCTGGTCTCTATGTAGTGGCTGTCATCCTTTGGCCTTGGTCTCTAACCTGGATGTGGCTTGTTTGACCCTCTGACCAGGACCCCTTGCCGACCCGGCAAACCACCCGTAACCTCCCTTAAAGATGATGCCAATCCTGGGCTGCAAAACACGTTCCAGCAGACTTCAGAGGATCACTCCCTATCCCCAGGGCGCTGGCCCCCTCTCGCTTTCCTCTGCCTTGACCAGCCTGTCCCACTCACCTGACAGGCTGAAGCCCGACTGGTGGAGATTCCTCACAGGTGGGTTGGGTCGGGTGGGCGAGCCCCGGGTAGAGCCCGCAGGGGTGCCCCCTTTGGGGGTGGTGGTCAGGTCAAAGACGGGCCCATCATACATGCCCCTCGGGACGGCATGCAGGTCTGCCATCTGCATGAGATGCAGAGAAATGGCATGTCAACCCTCCTTCATTCAACAGTTTAGAGCCTACTTGTGTGGACAGAGAAGCAGGGGAACGATAATGACAAAAGTCCCTCAAGGAAGGCACAAACAGAAGGCACAATACAGATGTCACAGTTAGATTAGGAGGGACATGGGCCACAGGCCCTCTCTAAACTGATGAGATGCCAGCTACAGCACCAAAGGACTCTGTTACAGGCTGGGGCTTCAGGCAGAGCCAGGGTTGGGAGCCACGGAGGAGTGGGAGGAAGGGGAGCGGAGCTAACAGAGCACACAGTGAGTGCTGTGAGTGCTGGCCTGCGTGAGGAGAGGCAGGGGAGGACGGCAGGGGAGCCGAGGTCACATGTGCGGGCTGGCAGGGTAGAGTTGCATGAGGTCTCCACCCTCCCACTCTATGCCTAGACCAACACAGGCAGGCACTGGAAGGAGACTGCTGACTTCCGGCTGTGGCCGTAAACCTGACCAGGGCTGAGGAGGTCAGGCCATGGAGCGCATGCTCAGCGCTGAGCACCATGGACACGGGAAACGCAGTGGCCCCCCCAAGGGGCCTTCCAGGCCACCAGACAGCCACGGCAAGACCACCCGAGGCCAAAGCACGACCAACACCCAGCTTCCAACACATGTGACCACTGGCCAATGCTCATGACGGCTCAGGCCAGGCCACCGTGGAGCTCTGGGGCGTCCTGCAGTCGCAGCGTCATCCTACACTCCTGAGAGCAGCTCATGAATAACTTCCTCACACCGACATCTTTAGATCATCCCATTTCTTTTGTTCTGGAGTCTAAGCCACAGGCATGGAAAGAAGGGGCAGCTCTAGGGAGCTGAGCTCCATTCCCAGCTCTCAGGATGACACCAGCATGTGATCTGGTCTGGCCCCTGATTACAGGAAGGGCACTCGGAGATGAGGGAGGGAGATCTGCCAGGAAACTGCTGAGCCTCAACCTCAAATGAATTTGGGTTATTCCACATGCGTGCGTGCGTGCGTGCATGCGTGCGTGTGTGTGTGTACAGTTGGGGCCATCAATAAGACTTTGAATCATACTAGCTAGACATTGTAAGGGTGAGCCCTGAGGAACTGCCTGGTCAGGTTAGGACAGGGATCTGGGGGCATTTCAAGAGCTTTTCATTACTTTTATGAAAACTAAAACAGGTTATTACATAATTTTAAATATAAAATGTAAGGAAGTTATTTGGAAAATTGCTTATTTTCAAGTTTCCCTTTCACGGCACATTAAGTGCATACTGGCTCTTCAGGATGAGCGTACTGCCGGGCCTCTCTGTGAGAGTTTGGGGAGACAGGCCTCAGGCCTTGGGGTCACTCTGCCTGAGCCTGCCCAGGAAACCAGCCCCTCCCCTCTGGGCCCCAGCTGCCACTCACCCTCCTCCTGGCCTTGATGCGTTTGTAGACGTAGTCGGAGAACGGGCTGCAGGGGATGAAGCGGCCAGCACCCTGGGTCACGTGCAGGTTGCCGTCTTCCAGCATGATCTTGCCCTGGCAGATGACCACCAGGGGGGCCCCACGCAGCTCCATGCCTTCAAAAATGTTATATTCTGCAGCCTAGAGGGGTGACAAGGCAATGGCAAGGAAGGGGTGTTGGGAGAGGAGAAAAACAGGGATCACATTCTGTGTTTGCAAACCTGCTCTCCCTGTCTCTAGAAATCAGGTAGGCAAGAAAAATTCACATAGTGAACCTGTGTGTCCAGTGTCCAGAAGGGATGAGGGGGCTGACACTCGCTGAGAAAGTCTGGCCTTCTGGCGAGGAAAAGCACCCAGTGTTTATCACAGTATGCAAGCGGAAGTCCATTTCCACAGCTCTAGTGCTCACAGCGAAGCTGGTAACACAGTCTTGTGTTGAGTGTTACACAGAGGGGACTCTGCAGCCACTGGGTGCCCACTAGCTCAAAATCACATAGTGAGATATGGCACAGTGTGCAAGCGAAGGACACACCCCCAAAATCGGGGTCTCTCTCTGACTCCTCCCCTGATTCAACTGCAGAGGGGCTGAAAACATCACCTGGGAGCCAGACGTGCAGGGTAAGTACTGCCCTGACCACTGACCAGCTGCCTCGACGACTTAATCCCCCCCTTCCATCTCCTTTCCTGTAAAAAACCGGTGAGAGCAGCTCCCGCCTGTTCTGGAGATGCGGGGAGTTAAAGGCACAAGTGCTGACAGTTTTCACGCATGCGTACTAGGTACTTGTTGCACATAATGAGCTCTGGTTATTATTTTGCACACGCATGGAGACATGAGGGAAAAAAAATACAGCTTCCCTCCTCTCAGCACAAAAAGACTGAGCCTCAGAAAGCCTAAGAATGAGGTGGGAGGCAGAATGTGGAGGGGAGGCAGTCCACCAGCCTCCCTGACCCAGCCCTGGGAGGCGGCGCCCTCTGCTGGGCGTCCACAGCGTGATCCAAACTGCTGAGAGCCAGCCTGCTCCAACCACACCACTCACCCACCGCCCCTTCTCCTGCAGAGCACAAGGCACACTCCCCCTCCGCCCCTCCCACGGGCCCGGTCTTACCGACTGGTGGTTCTTAGCAGAGACGATCTTCACGGCATCTGGATCCCAGATGACCAGGTCGCTGTCAGAACCCACCGATATTCTCCCCTTGCGGGGGTACAGGTTGAAGATCTTGGCAGCATTTGTGCTTGTCACGGCCACAAACTGGTTTTCGTCCATTTTCCCTGTGGCCTAGTGAAACACGAAACACATCCTGTGCACATCTGTCTCCCGGAACCTACCTCAGTCAGCGCTGGGCTTCTGCAAAGGTCATCCCCAGGCCGCCCGAGGGTGAGAGATTTGTGTTCCCTTTCATGTGTGTGCTTGCCTGAGGTTCCCACGTGTAATTATTGAGGATGTTTCATGTTGGCAATTAAAATACACAGTTGTGCGTCACTTAATGTGTTCTGAAAAGGGCGCCCATGGCAGCTTCAGTGCTGTGTAGACGTCAGAGAATCGCAGCTTGCACACCATGAACTAAGAACACTGTGATAAAACTAGGCAATAGGATCTTAGGGAACCCCTTATGTTGTTTATTATTGGCTGAAACATTGTTACACAGCACAGGAGTGTATGTATTACTTTTTATCAAATTCCAACAGTGCTAGGATACACCTGTATATACATTCACAAATTTAAAATTGTAAAGAAAAGATGGAAGCTAACCATATAAGAGAGTTCTTAAAACAAAAGGACTGAGTAAAGGAAGACGAGTTTAAATCTAGCTCTGAGCTCCCTCGGAGGCAAGGAGAAAAAAGCTTTGGTGAATCGGACTATGAAGATGAATGAGACATTATTTCACACATTCTGTTTGGTGCTGAAAACAGGAAAGCAATCAGTGTCACAATGAGCTTATTATTAATTTTACTAAAATCTTCACAAGAGTCTTTTGTTCTCTTGGCTCTTGCTTTTATCAACTCTTGTAATGTAAGAAAGGAGAACAAAAAACAATCCCTTTGCCAGAAGACACTGATAGATAGTGCCTTAACCAGGTGACTGTCCTCAGTACTGGGCATATTTGATGGGCAAACTGACCTTAGGCATGGACTGTCTGCTTAGCATTTCAAAGCACTGTTTCAGTCCTTTCAAAAGAAGTCATAAAACTCCCCCTTCAAAATGAATTCACTAGTATTTTAAGGCTCTTAATATGTACCCACTTAGTGAAGGAGCTGTATGTCTGGGTCCTAGTTGTTAACAGTCCAGATGAGGAAACCTCTTCGGAATCCTGGATCTAGGGATTTGCCACTAGGAAGCAGATGCCCAGGCCAGCTGAGCGGCCAGCTCTGCACGTCTCAGCAGGTGTGAGATGCACCTGGCTCTCCGTGCCCTCGCCAGCCATAGAAGGGCCGCAGCTCTGGCTGGCTTGGTTCCACAGCCTGTGACCTGGCCCGAGGTTATGTGGCCCCTGGCCACCCACCCTGAACACCCTCGGTGTCTCACCACAGCCTTGTCCCAGATGACAGACATCCGCTCCTCCACACCATTGGTGCCCTCGGGGATGGCTGTGAAGTTGTCCTTCCCAATGGCTTTCTGAGCAGTGCTGAAGGTGCAGTGGGCACTGCCGGAGAGTTGCAGATCACCACTGCCAAGGAGAAAAGTGCCCCGTGAGTGGGCGGCATGGCAGGGTACATGGGGGGCCCAGAACCTGCTGTCTACAATGAGGACTCAGAGTCTGACTACTTCAGTTTGGAATTCCTTCGCCAGCCCTAATGAGCTGTGTGAGCTTGGGTGGGCTTCTTACCCTCTCTGGGCTCAGGTACCCACCTGAAAAATGAGGGGGTGGGAAGAGATCGTCTCTTTGTGGATAAACGAAAAGGGTGCGGGCCTGTACTGCGTGTCTACCGGGGGCAGTAACAAGTGAGTGGTACTGTAATTTTGGCTAAGAGTCATCACAACACCTGTTTAACTTTAGGCAAATAATTTCGGCTCTTTGACCTTCAGTTGCTTAATCTTAATTGGTGATAATAGTGTCTGGTTTGAGGAAAAAAAATGAGGTCATACGGGCATGAACTGCCATGATCATTACAAACATTATCACAGTGCGGTCATTTGAAATGCATGGAGGAGGAAGAGGAGCTTGTTTTCCGTGCCGCAGGCCACAGGGGACCGCGCACTGCACGCAGCAATGCAGTGGGCGGGCAGGATTTTCCAGCACCACCCCAGCTGGCCCCAAGCGCTCCCACAAAGCGCCAGCCACCTGACACTCCCACACCCACCTGGCCAGCAAGGAGTTGATGTAGTCAGGAGTGGTTGGGTCGGGGCTCAGAGGTGGGGACGTCACGAAAGCAGCCGCCTTGGCCCAGTTCTTGCTCCAGTAGTGGGTTCCGTCTATGCCAAGGCTGGCAGTGATGGGCTCACCAAAGACCACATTTCCTGGATCAGGCAGGAAACAGGTAATGGGTTTGCACAGCTCCACGGCCCACTGCAGGCTTACGGCTCTGGAGCCAAGCAGACCTGGCTCAAGTCCATGTATCTACCTTTTTAAAGAAGTTAAGTTCATGGGCACAACGTAGGGATAAACAATGACCACACTCATCATTGGGAATTTGTACCTGGACATAATACATCTTGATCTGTCTTTTTCCCTCCCATTCCCTTCTCCCAACGCCTCTTCCCCTCCTTATTTACAAAGCTTTGTTTCCATTTGATTTTTCTCTTTTCTTTTCCCTTCTTTCCTCACTCTCCCAGTTCCCCTTTCTTTTTGAGCAACTTCCTCCAATTCCACCATCTCTTGTAAAATTTGGTTCTTATTTACACTTTAATTTCTCACATCAGGGAAACAATGTGGTATTTACATGTGTCCAGCTTATTTCACTTAAGAATATGGCCTCAAGATACATTTATGTAACAATAAATGTCTTAAGTTTATTCTTCCTTATGGCTGAGTAGTACTCCATTACATACTAAAAGTCCACATCTTTTTCATCCATTCATCAGCTGATGGGCATTTGGTTTGTTTCCAAGATTCAGTTATTATGAACTGTACCACTATAAACATGGGTGCACACATATTGCTGTAGTATGATGCTTTTAATTCTTCTGGGAAAATATCAACAAAAGGACTATCACAAAAGGCCTGTCTAATGGGACCTCTAACCTAGTTTTTTGAGGAATCTCCACACTGATTTCCACAGTGGTTGAACCAGTCTACACCCCACCAAGAGTGGAGAAGGGTTCCTTTTTTTCACAGCCCCAACAGCATTTGTTAGTGGTTGATTTTTTGGTAACAGCCATTCTTTCTTAAGTGAGATGGGATCTCAGTATTGTTTTAATTTGCATCTTTCACATAACTAGTGATGCTGAACATTTTTTCATGTATTTATTTGCCATTAGTCTTCCTTCATCTGAGAAGTATGTATTCATGTCAGATGCTCTTTTTTTGTAGTAGATCTTTGAATTTAGGAGATCTGATTTTTTTCGATCCTTTCTAGATATTAGTCCTTTGTCTGAGGAACAACTGGCTAAGATTTTTTTTCTCAATCTGTGGCTTGTCTTTTTACTCTGTTGGTAATTTCTTTTGCTATGCAAAAGCCTTTTAATAAAATCCCATCTTATTATTGCTGATTTTTTTATAGTATTTCCTATGGAATCTCTGTCTTGTTCATGAAGCCTCTGCTTATACCTGTATCTTTAAGACATGTACCTAATTTTCTCTTCTAACCAATTTACTGTCTCTGTTTTAATATATAGATCTTTGATCCATGTTGACTTTAGTTAAGTGCCTGGTGATAGACATGGTGCTAGTTTTAGTTTTCCATATGTGGAAAGCCAGTTTTTCCAGCACAATTTATTAAAGAGTTTATCTTTTTTCTAGTGAACACGTTTGGCACCTTTGTCAAAGACAGGGTGGCTGAGTGTGCTTGGAGCTGTTTCTGCATCTTCTGATTTGCTGCAAGTCTCTTTATTTGTTTGTTTGTTTGTTTGTTTTGCCAGTGCCATGCTGTCTTTTATCACAGTAGATTTGTAGTATAATTTCAAATCAGGAATCGTGATGCCTCCTGCCGTGCCTTTGTTGCCTAGAACTGCTTTTGCTTTCTGTATCTCTTTTGGTTCCAAATGAACTGTAGGAATGTTTTTCTAATTCTGAGAGATGTGCTAATGGTTATTTTGACTGGGATTGCATTAAATGTGTATAAAGATTTTGGGAATATGGTCATTTTCACTAAGTTGGTTCTTCCTACCTATGCGTAAGGAACCTGTTCTTAAGTCTTTGCTTTCATAGCTGCTAAATTAGAGCAATTATGTATTCCCTAGATAAGAAGCAGCACTGATTATGAGATACACCATTAATCCTCAAATCCAGAGGCAAGTTAAAATTTGAGGCAAAAAAAATAAAAACTGCATTGATTTCAAGATTTATCTTCCTTTCAGAAATAGTAAAATGCAAAATAGATATATCCTAGAATTGAAACAAGATGATGTCTACATACCAAACTTGAAAAATGAAAGGATTTAGCAAATGGGAGGAATCTGGTACACAGTAGGTGCTCGGTGAATGCTGATTCCACAGTAAACCCTTAAGTCCAGAAAATACCTCACATCACTGGGAATTTCAAGATCCTGATACAAGGACACTTGCTGGTGCCACAAAGAGAAACCCAATCCTGTGGGCCAGAGGCTCTCAGCACCTTTATCAGCATGTTTTTGCTTCTTACCCTAAAGCAAAAAGTAATTTGCTCGAGGAGACCTGACAGGCTGGATACCTCAAAGGTGAGGCTGGCTTCCTGGCTTCTGTGTCAGGAGCCAGGGGTTTAGTGCAGAGAGGAAGGACACTGGCAAGTGCAGTGCTCTAAGCTCTTGCTGAGTTTCTGCACGAGGATGGACAGTAACAAGAAGGCACCGCAGCCTCACAGAAAGTGGCTGATACCCAGTTTCCCCACGCCCGTTAACTGGGGATCCAGGACATCCTGCACAGCTTTGGGCTCCTTCATGTCGGTTCCCCACTGTCAGGGTTCACCCAGGTCAAGCTCCAAGAGTCTCTAGGGCAGGATTATAAAGAAATTTCACCTCATTTCAACTCCATTCCTTGGTAGTTAACTGGAAATCCAGGTGGGAGGAATTCTAACAATGCTTCCTGTCACACTAGGAAAGACTCCTGACTGATCAGCGATGCCTGTGACACACCAAAGAAAAAAGCCCTGGGCATAGTTCCCATCCAGCAGCCTTGTTTTACACAGAGGTGGTAAAACAGACTGATGTGTAACTGATGAGGACTTCAGACGCTCCAAAAATATCTCTCAACTAAAGCATTCAAGGCCACAAAGAAATGAAGAAAAGAGAATCCAGGCAAGCACTCAAAGCACTCAAGAAATAAAACCAGTCCCACTGGACTATGTGTCACATGGCAGAGTAAAAAGCAAAGATTGTCATTATAATTGGGTCTGAATGCTCGGCTTCATGGCTGCGAGATCCTAGTCAACTTGCACTCTCGATTACTTCATCTGAAACATGATGGTAACAATGCCTGCATGACATGCCTTAGCGCTCTCCGAATTCTGCACAATCAGTGTGGGGCATTGTGTTGGTCCTCATTAAATTGAAGCTCTCTATTCATTAAATTGACGCTCATTCTGAGCGTCCAGGCAGTTATTCATGGGTTGAGAGCGATTGTTTTCCTCTGGAGTTAAACAGAAACATGGTTGGAGGGAAGAGTAAGCCCTGCTGCACTGTCTTCCTGCTCAGAATGCTCTTGACTCCTTCCCTGAGAATGACAGTCTGGGATGTTTGCTGGCTTCAGTGTCAGCAGCCAGTTTTCCACCACTGAAAGAAAACATCCCTCCACCCTGGAGACACAGCTGCTCTAGTTCTCTCTGCCAGGGAATCATGAGCCAGAAGGCCAACGGGAGGAATTTTTCTCCCTGAACTTCAGAATAAGACAAGCATTCAGCTGAAACAGCCCATCCTCAGAGGGCTCCAGGTCACCCTGAGGGTGGGTTCCTGGCATGATACAGCCACCAGCAGAGTATAAGTATGCTGGGTGATCCCACCTCAGAGGATGTGCATTTGGGATGGGGTGCAGTCCCTGCATAGCACCCCATTTCCTTTCTCCAAGAATGGGTAAGGAGCACTGCTTCCTGGTTCTCACCCAATGACTCACCCAGTGGAACAACCCTGCCATGTCTGTTGAGACATTTAAATGCTGAGAGAACAAACAGCCGCCTACCAGGAACATGGTGAAGTCGGAGATACCCCCGAACCTGCCAGCTGGACCTGGGCAGTTAGGAAGATTCCCCTTTGATAAGGACAGAGTTTTTCCTCTGCCAGAAGGCCAGGCAGCTGACAACGCAGCTGGCAGAGTCAGCTGGAGCTATTCTTGCCCTGCAGCCACCCACATGTGGAACTTCACAGGCTGGTTTGGTAAATGAATCCCTCCTCTTGGCCTCTCCATCACCAGGCTGGCTGCTGGCACACAGCATGGCACAAATCAGCCTGGTAAACCCGCCTTCACACCCAGACACACAGCTTCCGTCTCCAGTTGCTCAAGCACACTACTCACTGACCAGATGTACAACTGAGCCCATCACTCTACCACCGCGCGGGGACAAGAACCATAAAGAGGGAAGAAAGGCTGAAAATGGGTGTCAACTCTAGCTGAGCACAAGTGAGGAACTGAAGGTCAAGTTAACGGCAGTGGAGAAATAGAGCAGATGGCAGTGGCCATGGGGCTTGTAGCATGCAGGTCCTGACGGTGGACATTTTTTAAAGACCCAATTGTCCTGTCTCCTAAAATAACCCATGCTTCCCCTTGTGGTCAGTTGAAGTGACCCTGCATTGTGTCCTGCCTGCAGTCTTGGCTGGATCACACCAATATCCTCAGGCAGTTTTTGGTTCAGGAATCAGCACCTGACCCCTTGCCAAGGCAGTCCCAGTGCTCCTGGCATCTACCCTTGTCATTATTCGCTATGACAATAAAGTCCCCTGGGAAGAAAGACAGCCAAGAATGGACAGGAGTGGCAGATACACTGTTAAAACCCCTCAGTGTTGTCACGCATGAATACCCACACCTAATCCCTGGCCTCTGTCTGCTTGTTTAAGCTAGTTTGGGTTGGATCTTTGACTCCGGTATTCACAGCAACCTTGACTAGAATGCACACTTCTAAAGCTCAAATCATGTGACCTGGTACTGAAAGGTCAAAAGGAGGAGAGAAAGTCTCTCCAGGTGTGTCATCCAAGGCATGCCACTGAACCTCCCTGAGCCTCGGGGTGAGCATCTCTGGGTCCCCAGTGTGTGCCGAGGTATCCTAGTGATGAAACTGGCACCACTGATACTCTGCAGACGGCTAGTGCAGAAAGCGACCTGACAGTGTGGCGGGCTGCAGGAACACCCATCACCTTTCTTCCTGGCTTGTGAGATGAGATCAGCTGCGCTCTTGCTCATGACCTTCGTGATGTACAGGGGGCAGTTGGTTTGGCTGGCAATGGTGATGGCACGGAACACAGCCTCTGCTTCCAGCTGCGAAACAAAGCACAACAACAAACAGGAGTCAAGAGGAACGTGGGCCTGTCACCCCCGCCACTCTACCACTTCCACACACTGTGAGACCACCATGCTGTGCGGAAGTTTAAAACCTAGAAGGACCTGGAGCTAGACGCATGGACCTGCATCTCAGATCCATCACGTCCTAACTCTGTGCTTTACTTCGCTCCTGGGTGTCTGTATCCCTCATGGGTAAAACAGGTAAGAGGAACACATAGGGCTGGGTCTCAGAGTGAGGCCTGGCTCTGAGTCAGGGCCCATGCACTGTCCACTTGAGCTCTCAGCCTTCTCTCCTCTCCCCGTGGCTTTCACAAAGGCTGCACTTTAATGGAGTCCTTGCTGCCCAGTATTATCAACGTAGATTCTCTGGGAAACATCACCAAGTGCAGAATAACCAGTAAAGCCATTTGGGCATCACAGCTTCTCCAATTCTTTCCTGAAACAAGAAGTGGCCTGCAAAGGGTACATTCCAAAAAGCACTTCTGATAAAAATAACCTCAAGGATTTTCAGGACAAAAACTTCTTTCATTATCGATTTCTTCCATCCCATCCTCATGTAGGATTTGTGTTTTCAAATATGCCTCCTAACCCAGTTGCATTCATCAAGCAACAAGTAATGGGTTTCCCCTAGTTCATTAATAAAGGCGGGGCTGGGAACTCAGGGTGTCCCACACGGCATATTTATAAATTCAGTGACTGCAGGTAGAATACACAACCTGCCAGTGCCTCAATTTCCTGGTCTGTAAAGTGGGGATACTAACAGGACCTCATAGTTAAGGCCATTGTGGGGATTAAATGAGTTAGCTCTTGCAAGCAATCTCACCTGGCTTCTGAGACAAGTCCAGGGTCCCTTCAAGGGGGAGCAGCTACTTTTGCTCCTGATCACATTTCTGACCAGTGGGAGTCTGTTTTTACTCAAAGCCAAATCAGTCCTATTCAGCCTAGAGCACAGACTCTGGCATGTTTCCATTTGATCACCATCAGTTCCCTATTGTATGAATATGACTTTCTGGCTGGCCTGTGCAGCCCAATGCTTAGAAAAACATCAAAATAGCTTGCAGATGCCCAATGGCTGTCTAATGCAAACCAGTCCCTCCCTGGGGCTTAGTCAACTGGTTCTAGAAGTTGGTGGGCTGAGCTAGGGTCCCCTGAGCTGGACTACATTTGGCAAAGGCAAAGCCCAGAGGGGTCCCTGAGTGCAGCTGAACACCACTGTCCTAAGCACCCCACTGTGCCCCGGTTCTACTCTAAAGAGCATCACTGGAGAGGGTGTCCTGGGGGCTTTGAAAAGAGGAGGGCTGGCTCCTCTCTGTTCATCCCTGCCCTTCACACCTTTGTTGATCACTCCAGTGCCCCCATGACCTCAGCCATGGCCCCTTTGATCTCCCTCCCTCCATCCCTCCCACAATGCAGGTTTTTCCACACTTCCCCAGCATGACTATCTTCAGAAGGTTACATCACCCTCCAACTTTACCCCAAAGGGCTTCCAGAGTTTATGGATTTGCAGCTGCGAGACTTTTTTTTTTTTTTTTTACTAAAAAGGAGACAGGAACCAGGAGAAGGTTGGGAGGGGTGTGGTGGGGGGAGGCTGGAAAAACAAACCAAGGAACAAAAATAGACTTTGTTCTGAAATCCCCTGGCTGCTGCCACTGAAATCTATCTTGCCAGCACAGCTCTCTGGTGACCAACATTTATGGAGTTTCACAAACAGCGCTGATCACCCTGGCCTGCTCATGCTGTGGACGATTTTCCAGTTCTTCAAACATGACTGACTGAGCTCCAGGTTCTTTACCTGTGCGATAACATCAACTACCTGGAGCAGCAGTAAAGAAAGCGAACTGAAATACTGCGTGCAGTCAGCATGGGATCATGTGTGCCTTCTGTAGAAAAGTCCTGGTGTTATTAGGACGGCAAACTTTTTAGGAATGCAGTCACAGAATCTTTAAAACCACTTTAACACAAGCTCCTTGATTTGTATTTCAAATGGCACCAAAAATATCCCTGGACACAGGGAGTGTCTGGGGAGCTGAACTCGTTCTGTATTGTTGCCGAGTGCTACTTACGCACGTGTATTCAGTTTGTGAAAATTCACCACACCCTTAGGATTGGAACATTTTTCTCTGTGTGCCATACTGAATTATTAAAAGGGCTCTAACGGAGCTGGACCATGGAACCCAATCTTCTCTGGTCCTGGTTCTTGTATCTGTGGTAGAGTTTGGAATCACTGCAGAGCAACAGGATTTGCTTCACTTATTTGAACAGCCTTGGATGAACTCCAAGATCTCCCAAAGCCAACTTGCTATCAACCATGTGGGCACTAGATTCCCAGCTCTGTGCAGCAGGTGAAGCCACTGACATCCCAGAGACAAGGAATCAATCACTTGTCACTTTTGACTGGCTCTGCAGCTGTATATCACCATGTATATGACATGTAGGAAATTTTCATACCTGTATGTAATCATTACCTTAGGCAAAACAATGGGCAGAATGGCTATGAAAAAAATTCAACCTCCTATTCACGTGATCCACATACTGCAAGCCTCAAAACGTAGTGTGAAATAAGGCAGTAAATAGAAACATCTCCAAGACTCACAATGATTAAGAAAGGCATTAGCAATTTAACACTTCAACTGAAAAACCCACTGATCACAGTGCAACTTGCTTTTATCTTAAAGAGATTAGGGGTCAGAAGTAAGTACCTCCTTTGTATTCCTTTCTAATTTATTTTGACAAATCCTTGAGCTCAGGACAAGTCAGATGTGGTCTTTGAAGGAAATATTCTGATACTCCTCTATTGTGCGCACAATTCCTTACTAACTTAGTGATGTGTACATGGCTTGGGAAAGCAAGCCAACAGACACTCTCCCTAGGGAGATGCTGATAACAAAAGAGAGCCCCTACTGCTACTGCTTACTTTTCTCCCTACCTCACCCTTTACCTCCACCCCCTGTAACTTACCTCTTCTGGTCTGCTCAGCACGTGGCCCTCTGGGCCAGTGATTCCCATTTCCAGCATCCGGTTTTGCTCCTAGAATGAGAAAAAAAAGAAGAAAGTCTTAGGTGAGAGCAACCGAATTTGGAAAAATTATACTGGTACATTCTGATCTAAATATGCCCTTAAAAGATAAAAAATAAAATACGTATGTGCAACAAACATTAATTCTGTATTTGGAGTTGCGATATAAATGTGACCCCCTTTTAGTAAAGGTAAGACAGTCAGTCTGTGAGAACATCTATTCTTTGTCTGAGTTAGCTAGCAGAAGTTCTGCTGGTCACTCACTCTCCAGCTTTCAGACCCAGCTGCTTGTGAAAGCACACTTGCTTAACTTACTAGTTTGTTCATTTCTGCACTTTAAGCTCATTTATTCAACAAAATGTACTGAGTACCTGCTTCCCACTAAGCTCTGTGATAAGTACTTTTTGAATGACGGCAATGTGCCCTGTGACCTCAAGGAGTTCACAGGTTAGTGTAACATCCCCCAAAGTGCAGTCCAGCCAACGCCCACACCAAAGCCACCTGAGCTGCTCTTATGGCAGTGCAGCTGGTCCTAGGCTCACCTAGCAAATTAGACTGTACAAATGCAACCTAGTAATCTATATTTCAATTAATCCCTCTGGGGTTTATGCTGTAAACCTAAGGCTTAGATGAATGAATTCAGAGTTTAACCAGATGAAATAATGCTTCTAGACAGCACTGAGCTAGTGTGTTGGTCACGATCTCTTTAGCTGAACAGTGGACTGGGTAGCTGACCTGCCCAGCCCTGGTGGCTGAGTGCTGAATTCATCAGACTTTTGGCCAGCGCTCATGAAGAAGCAGGTGGCTGGACACCAAGCCCACACAGGGCTAAGTGGAATGGGCAGGAATGCCAACCCACCATACCTGCAGTTCCGCTGCCACTCACCCTGAAAGTCCCACAGCTACTCCCAGCAAGCCAGCCGGGTGACCCAGGAGTCTCCTGGGTCTTCAGGGAGGTGGGGAGTGCAGGGAGTCACTTCACAACTGAGACTTTTAGGAAAATTACTACTGGAAAAAGAAGAACTTTTTGATGTTTTTGTTGTTCACAACTCAAAATTTCTAAAAAAAAAAAGAGTAAACCGGAAAGTGTATATAAGACATGGAAGGTTACACAAAAGGTCAGAGGCTGCTTTTTCCAGCACACTAGTTCTGCTTGTCATTCCCTCTGTCCTCATTTACTCAGATGCCAGTGGAATAAAATTGTTTCCAAACTTTAGCAATTATCCACTCTGGAGCACCGTAAGTCACCCCAAGTTTAAGGCTGATGACAGTAATGATTTTGTCTTACAACATCCTCTCTTCTCTCTTGCTTGTATGTACCATGAGAAAAGCCAGCTTAAGCAGTGGCTTCAAACACATTTGTTATGGATATATTTCTTCTTTCTTTCTTTGTTTTTTTGGTGGTGCTGTTGGGGAGGCTGAGATTGAATGCAAAGTCTTTGTACAGAGCTCTTTCCTTCTTAAGATTCTTTATTTTCAGACAGTATCTTCCTAAGTTGCTAAGCTGCCCAAACTAGGCTTGACCTTGATATTCTCCTGCCTCAGTTTCCTACAAAATTACAAGTCTGTGCCACCATATCCAGCTGGGGTCTTCAAAATACTCTTTACTAAACTACTGAATCACAGTATGGAATCAGGAAAATCCAGTGCTTCTCATACACTGCTCTTGTGAAGTCTTACTTAAAATCCATGGTTTTCTTACAGTTGGAAGATTAAAAATGACATGATGTTTATGCACATGTAGACGGGTTACGTACATGTACCAATCACCCACAATGAACGTAATCATTATGTATCCCAAACATGTACTAATAAAAATTTTAAAATAAATATTTGTTACATGATGAGAGATGACCCACCCTCACACCCTTTTGTTGACGTGAAAGTTCTGACAACTGCTTTTGTTTGTATCCAAAGGAAAAGTTTTCTTTTTTGCTCTTTAGTCACTTTTGCAGAAATGTAGAAAGAAACTCAGCAGCTGCCTTCATTTAGACAACGTGATAAAATCTTTCTGCTCAGGCTGAATTTAATAAACACACACAAACAACTCATCCAAATGGAAAAATGCCCTTATTCTTTTCCTGAGAGAGAGCAGATCTTCCTGGGGCAGGGGAAAGCTGTGGGTGGAGGGGATCTGGAGAACCCTCTGTGGGAAGGGGGCTCTGCTTTGGAGTCCCCTCGCCTTTAGGATGGGGGAGCAGGAAGTTTGGCTTCAAGAGCAGCTGAGGAGAAGCTGGTACCTCTGACTGCTGGACAGAACCCTTGGAGAAGAAGGCGTGACAGCCCTGACACCAGTGGGCATCTCTGCTGGGAACAGGGCCCTTGGGCCCTCTGAGGAAAACGATTTCATTATGTCTGGGTGTGTGGGAGATGTGGGAGAAGGCACCATCTGGGGCCTGACTAATTAGACTCCTGGGTCCTAAGTAATAGAAAAGTGCTTCCTTAATTGACCCCCTCTGCATTTAATCTGAGATCACAGCAACTGGAGCCCTGTACTGCTGGGAACTTTGTCCCCAGGGGCCTACAGCTGGGCTTGAGGAAGAAGGGACCTTTATCTCTAGGGAAAGGTATCTACTAAGGCCCCAGCCCTTAGGAGCCAAATATGGTCCTCCCAGCCATTAGCTGAGATTTTGGGATGAGTGACATAATCCCCAGGAGCCTCTTGTCTATGCTCTTGTCTATAAAATAGAGGATGATGGCATCTTTAAGGGTTGGAAGAAGACTCAATAAGAATATTCTGGAGCACTTGCCAGTGCCTGGCAAGTAGTGATAAGTAATTAACTGTGCTCACTCTTAGGAAGTTAATGGGTCTGAGACAAGGGTCAGCTTCTCCACTGTTCTCACAACCCTGCTGACCACTTCTCAAGCCCTGGGCAGCTCCTGCAAAACAGGCACAGCCCAAGCACTGTGAGCTGCAGAATGCATCTGTTTCTGCTCACCCCAGAGCCCCGTGCCTGGCAGGCAGTGCTCGGAGTGTACTCAGAATGGATGCTGGTTTTCATAATGAATGCCATCAAATGCACTAAGACAGCTCCCTCTTCTTTCCAGGCTGTATCCTTCTAGCAGAGGCCAGTGCTGAATGGCTGTGAGATAAACACAACACTGCCTAAGACACATCTGTGTGTGCATCTCTTCCACTAGGTAGTCCGGGAGACAGACAGGGAACTGCTTTCTGCTGCCTAACAAACGATCCCTTTGAGCCTTGGGGTCCTTGCTTTCATCATTCTTTCCCCATGTTTCTCAATATGATTTCTAGGAAACCAGTCTGATCCCCAAAGGACCTAATTTCTTTATTATCTAAGACTGTGATTCCTGCAGATGTGGACTGGATTTCTGGCTTCTGAGAAATGCTGCCTTGGGTTTTTCTCCAGGACACAGAATGTCATGTAGCTCTGACTCATTTTCAGAGATCAGCCCTGCTCTCCCACTCACTGGCCCGGTACACCACTTCTGGTCTCAGGGATGGCCAGAAGTCCCGTTTCACAGCATCTTGTATTTTCCTTGCTTTTTTTCCCCTCCACATAGACTATCAGATTATTTGTCTTTATCAAAGTGCCTTGAGGGACCCTTCCACACACGGAGGGCTCAAGCCACCATGAAGAAATTAGAACACCAATGAGATGCCAACCCTCACAGAAAGCACATGCTGAGTGCTACATGGTGTTACCTGGGCAATGATGTCCCCATTCTCAGCATGAACTTGAGCAATGGCCCCCAATTCTCCTAGGCAGGTGAAGATCTCATACAGCTGAAACAGAAATGAACCTATGTCACCTTCCTAGCCACGTTTAGCCTTTTCATTTGAAGGCCATTTACTAGAGCTAAAATAAATGGAATGACCTGGGAGAAATCTATGACTAGAGCAGAAATATAGACTAAAATATGCATGACACAAGAGGAATAAAGTTCAAAGAAACTCTGGGTGGTGTGCTCATCGGCAGATCCTGGCACAACTCCTAGACCAGCAGGACCTGAATCTAATGAAGTACTGGTGAGCTCCTTCTCTGGGTCAGGAACATACTTTTAATGAGTCATTTCCCATAGAGCTGAGACATAACTTCAGAAGTATTTGAGACAAGTGTCCTAGAAAGCTGGTACAGCCAGGTCAAAACTAACTCAAAAATTAAAACCCTATGTTTGAACTATAACCTTCATCCTCTAAGCAAGAGGCATAGGAATTAATTTCTCGCATTTCCTCTGCTAATTTGAGGTTTGTCTAAAATAGATACATGTCATGACTTTCCAGGGAGAGTAGCAGACAAGCTGTAACAATTATTTAGAGGAGGAGCAGGTCCTCCTGATCCTTTAAGGCAGAGAATCCCTTACTTTCTTGCAGTTTATAAGGGGTTGGAAACTTGTTCAGCAGATGAAGATCTAGGCTTGCCTTTCTTCTCACCCTTCAAGAAAGCTGCTGCCAGTGGAAATTTTAGCTCCCTGGCTGCCTGGTCAGTGGCACTCTGCCCATTATCTTATTTACAAAGCCACGGGATGGCAAAGGCTTTGAGAAGTACTTTGGCCCAGTGGTCTGGTGTCCCTCACTGACCACAGTGACTCATGATGAAAGGGCCAAGATATTCAGCAACAAAAGGAAACCCATCAGATACCCAAAACCTCACAGCATAGGGCTTGTTACCTCGGTGTTGGACACTTGGTACAAATCCTTGTAGGCCATGTAAACCATGAAGGAGTTAACCCCTGCAAGACAAAGAAGAGGACAAACATAGGAGAAAGATAATGTTAACGCAACCACTTTCTCTCCTGATCTCCGCTCCTACCACCCACGGGGCCTGGCACATTACTTAGCACCTATCCCAAATAATTTGAAGTCTCCAAGAACATTTTACCACCCGACTCCTACCCCAGAAAATCAATAGATCCTAAGTGATGTGACTGTAGAGGGTCCCTTATTCTGTACCTATTCCTCACTTCCTCTATTGTGGTTTATATCCGGATGTCCTCCTAAAGCCTCACGCAGTCAAGGGCAGGGTATTTAAAGGGTGATTGACTAACAGGGTCACTATTGCTAAATTCAAGGTTAGGAAGCAGGGCCTGGCCAGAACAGGTTGGCCACTGAGGGCTGGACCTGGTAGGAAGAGTCTCCCACGTTCTTGCTTTCATTGGCTCCTCTCCTCAAGTTATAGATGTTACATACTAGACCTCAGCTAAGAGAAAGGGCCCTAGACACTCTCTCCATCTTTCCATCCATTTGGATACTGCTGGAGGCAGCACGAGCTGGGGCTGCACAATAGGAGCCCTGCACATAGTGCAGTGAGCTTGGAATCTGAAGTATGTATCTGCCTGCTCTTATTTTTCTCCTCTTTAAAATAGAAAACTCACAATGCCTTACATCATACTATACTACGACTTCACAGAGCATGAAAAAATAAAAATAAGCTCCCTAAAACCTGCTCCAAAATGCTGGCAGGTGCTAAAGTCCATTCTCTCACTGATATTATTTTCTGTAAATAAATTAAATGTCCCTCCATTCTCTGCATTTTGTTTAAAGAGGAAAGTCCAAAGACAAATCTGATTTGTTAAGATAGAAATATTCCTTGTGATTTTTGTAACACAATGATATGGTCTCTAAATGAAGAACTGCTTCAATTGAAACAAATTCACGTGAATGTCAAGTGTTAAAAAAGAAAAAAAAAAACAAAAAAACAAAAAAAAACGTGGACCTGACCTCAGAGAACTAACAGAGCAAGTGGGTACAGAGTAAGTTTTGCCTTGCCAGGGTTATAAGGAAAATTAAATTTTCACCCAAAATAAATAGGTGGATATGGGGAACAGGGAATCATTTTGAGGAAAGGAAGACAATTTTGGTCTCCTACCATTAGGGCCATTTCAACCCACAGTGTTTCAAGCCAAAAATGGATTACAGTTTGAGAACAGCTTTAACCAGAATGGTTCGGCTCAGGGCAGCGGTGCCCAGACTTCTCCTCCCAAAAGCTTCCCTGTTATCCGTGGAATGACCCAGGCCCTATGTACTTGTTAAAGCCATTTACTTTTCTACTCCAATTGATATGCCAAGTGTAAAAGAAGATACAGAAAGAAAAGAGGGAGTTAATCTGACTTCTGTGTCACTGAGAATTGTACAGGACTTGTAGGGTAAAAAGAGGGATGAAGAGAGAGAAATTCATGCTCTGATGAGTCATCCTTTGCCTGCACCTCAGGGGCGAGCTCTTTTATGGAACTCCTAGCATGAGAGTCTGGACTCCTATATGATGACAGCTCTTGCATTGTGTGGCATTTATCCTATTGTTCTTCATGGAACTGGAGGCCCAGTAGAGGTCATGACCTAGCAATACTCCAGTGGCCTGAGTGTTAAGTATCTGCTGAGCAAAACACAGAAAGCAATAAATAGACAACAGAAAGGTAAGAAAATAATGGGCCTAAATCATGTACTTTTGAGAGGAAACGTCCTTGCAAACCTCACCTCTGGTACACACAGGAACATATTTTTATGGCCTAAACTTTTGGCCTGAGAAGCAACTAGAAATGTGTGATATTTTTCTGAGAACGTCAATGTTATGTTAGAACAATGGTTTGCTCTCTAGAGTAAAAATGATAGAGCTCTAAAATTCCTAATCTCATTATCTTCTGCCCGGGTGACCTTCTGTAGGATACATTAGCCTCAGCTAATGTGAACCTCTGTGTCTTCTTCTAAAAAATGAGGAACATTGCAGAGAAATGAGGAATATCCCCTTTGGGTAGGTCCATTCCTTACTAACTCTATGATCTTAGGCAGTCAATCTGACTCAGAGCTTCATCACCTACAAAGTGGGAGTAGCAATTTTTAGCTCACAAGGATCCTGTAAGAGGTCACTGACACTCCATCAAGCGCCTGGTACAAAGTGGAACCCTACATCCAGCACTCAAACTTAATGCTTTCGACTGCAAGCAATACTGAAATGAACCGATGGTGGAGGCAGGATGGGTGAGGAGATGCCAAGGGAGGAGATGGGAGGACATGCATGCTCAGATTCACCTTTGTCCTTGATGAGGTTCTGCACTTCCTGCTTGACGCTGTCGTTCCAGTGGGTGATGTCCACGTGCAAGGCATAGTCACAGCAGCTCTTCCCATCAGCCCACTCGCGCCACTTCTCAAAGGCCTCGGTCAGGCTGGACTCAGGCTCAGGCACCACATGATCAACTGAATGACAGAGGGCCAAGTGGGTGACTCCGACATGGCTTTTCTCCCCCTGCCCAGGCCAGCTCCTGTTGCTAGCTTAGCTATAATGGCACAATCCCTACTTCTTGAACTTGCTATTAAACGAGAAAATGTTCTCTGGTAGCTTTCAGGATACTGATGATTTAAATGTTTTTTAGCTATGAGATCTGGTAAAAACAACCAGTTTAAACTTCAGTTTTTTTCTCTTTAAAACAAGAGCCATGTAGGGGTGGACAACTACAATGGTGCTTTCCTTATGAGTTTGTCACACAATTTAATAGAAAAATCCATGTAAAGCGCTCTACCCATGGCTGGCACATAGTATATGCTCAGAAAATGCTGCCCATCAAGGACTGCTTCCTCACTATACATTGTCATTACAGGGCTGTGTGACTGCCAGTGATAGAAGTTGGATCCTCTTCCCGGGGGAAGGATGGCTTTTAAAGTTATGCCAGGCACAAGAATCAGTAAACCTTACTTCTTTTTGATAAACTCCCATCAGTTAGGCAAATCTAACACTGAGGCTACAGATCTCATTTCTATGCAACATTTCTGGTAAGTATTCAGTGTCTTTGAGCTCGAAACTACTCTTTTTCTTGCATTTGTGGATAATATATTTTTTTAAATGATCACCTCTGTAGCTGCGAGGATAACATAAAAGTTATACTCTCACAGTTCCCTCCTACGCTAAGACAAAAGTGTGAATTGGTACAACTTTCCTGAGAACAACTTTGAAATGCACATAAGAAGTCTGGATGTTTTTCACACCTTAATAATCATTTCCGCGCCCAAGAATTATTCCCACAGAAATAGGTGTGGATAGATACAAAATCTTGATTTTAATGATATATGCTACCATATTTATGTAAGTGAAAAATTGGAACAAACTGGACTCTTTACACTAGGGAAATGCAGTTAACTATGTAAATCGTGATGCCTTCATAAAGTGATGATCCATTTGAAATGTTGTGGTAGAGTAAACATAAATGAGCGGAAAGATATTTGTGACATGTAATGGAGTGAAAATGACAGGATAAATAGTGTACTGTACAAATATCGGGGTGCTATTTTTGTTAAATGGGAAAAATACATGTATAGTGTATAGCCAATTCTAACAGTGATGTGGGATTACAAGGTTTCTTTTCTTTTTTGCACATCTGGGGTTTCTAAGTTAACCGTGAAAGACATGAATGCTTTTGTGGTTCCTAGTAAGCTTCACTCTAATCACCTGGACCTGACTTTCCTGCTGCTCCCTCCCCAAGGTAGGAGACCAAGTGTAACAGGCATCTGAGGGATGCTGCGCAGGTCCAATTCCTTGATTTGCTTTCAGACAGCCAGACCAATATCATGTTTCCTCATGCTTCTATCAATGGCAGCGCTGTGGCACTCACTGCAGACCAAGTGAATGTAGCCACATTATCCATTTCTGGAACAATACTGGGACTGTCATGGGCAGGCAGTTGCTGAGAAGTCAGCTGGCTTCCTCCCTTCAGCTGGAGACATGCTTTGGTCTCCCTGGACTGCACCTTTTATGGCCCTGCTGCGAGTTTCCTCAGCTCTCAAGAGCTGAAGCTAAACCGTGCCAGTGCTCCTGTCAAAAGGACTTCAAGACAGTGGGCTATTCTACAGCTCAGATTGTAGAGCAGGGCACCTGGGTACCTACGTAGGGAATATTTAAGGATAATGAGACAGCGTGGGTGGATGTATGTGATGTTAAAATAAACAGTACTCTGGATGACCATGTTTGGGCTCAGCACTGAGACAGGACCCAATTCACTGAGAGTCCTTTGGGATAGGAAGGACAGCCCTGGCATGCCATCAGTTCAGTAATCCACTGGCATGCAGCTCCCTAGATTTCTCTGGAATTCCAACTTGCCAGAAATGAAACCAAAGGAAATCAAAACATTACACAGTTTGTCCAATCTCAAAGGTACAAATTGGTCAGACAGCACTAATTCCACTGAAGCCCACTAATTTCCCAAGAACTGTAAGTCCTCGTTATCATTTCTGTAAGTTTTCTTTCCCTTGGCTTGTGCACTTCTTGAATCTCCTTCACGCAGTTACAGTGAGCAGCCATTTCCCCAGAACCACCTGCTTTGCTCAGGTCCTCTGAGCTAGAAAATCTATAAAGCAATTTTAGAGGAGTATACAAGATATCAGTGGATGCACTGTGGTTAGCAGCTATGCTGACAACATGCCTCTGGGCATTAAGAATGTAAAATCTGAGGTCTTACTGATCATAGTGGTGCCGCCTGCTAAGGCAGCCTTTGTGCCCTGAAAGAAGTCATCGACTGTGGTCATCCCCTTGTACGGCATCTGAAAGTGGGTGTGGACATCAATGCCCCCAGGGATCACCATCTTCCCGTTGGCTTCGATGGTCTTCACTCCTCCAGGGACAATCAGATTGTCTCCAATTTGCCTGGAAAGACAGAAAAACAACTGGTAGTTGAAAAGAGCAATTCTCAAGACAAATATAGTATTAGAAGGATTTGGAACACTTCAGTACACTTTTCAAACTAGTCTGCAAATGACTCACAAGTCTAGCAATTTCAAAACAAAGCTATGTTTTTATTGATACAAAATAATTTGATATGGGGATATGAAGACAGGTGTGTATATTGACAGAAAAATACCCTTTTTGAGACTATGTACCCTACTTTTATACTATAACCCCGGAGGTTTGTTGCTATCTGGAATACACTGTATGTGATGGGAATTTTTGGGATTAAAAAAGTGTATTAATTATTCCATTCATTTTGTTCATCATTATGTTGAAGGTGGGGAGTAACACTGGGAAAGGTGCTAAAGAGTATGAAATTATGGAGAGAGAGGAAAATATGGAGTCACTGCAGGAACACATATGGGAACTTAGCAGTTATCTTCTAAGCAGGCTATACATATTTCTAAGAAAAGAACTCTGCCCAGACCTATTACTATCTCAGTCTTCACACCTAGCACTGCCTTTTGATGACTTATCATCAAGCACACATCACAGCAGATTTACATGGAGGAAGTCAAAGATGAAGATGCCTCTGGTACCAGCTGCATCTGTGAGGTCAGGGTCTCAGCAGACGCTTCAAGCCAAGGAGGGAGACTCTGACAACCTCCCTGAGACACACCATGGCCAAGGGAGCTCCAGAGCATCCCACAGAGAAGCGGGGCAGACTCAGGGGGAAGCCAGTCAATAGGTATATTGTGCAAGGAACTTGTACTTCCTGCACAATGTGACTTACAGATCAGCCTTCATTGCTTAGTTTTTAATGTGATTTTACACCCTTGATTTAAACAGCTGTTCAAACTCGACAATGCAGATTTCTGATACACACAGGATCCACAGCTGCTACATTATCCTTAAATATTTCCTATGTTAGGTACATAGGTGCCCTGTTGCTAATGGCATGATTACTTCCTCTTACGTACACAGCCAGCCAGAAATGTTCTCTCTCTGTGCACTAAGCAGCCTACCACTGGCCTGTCAGACTCCAAGTTCTGCAACTGCTATGTTTCCGACATTTCTAAGAGTTCAGCTTCACCACATCACCACGGGGCCATTCCAGGGCCACCACAATTCCAAACACTACGGAAAAATGCAGCGTCTGGTCATAACTCTAGTTCAGACACTGCCCTGTTCTGTTCCCATTTTTCTTCCTTGCTAGTTTTTTCCCCTAAGAGAAACTGAGAACCAAATGCATGAAGAATTACCTGGCCTGTGTGTTTTCTCTTGTTTTGACAATTCGCATAATATTATGTCTTAAACAGAAATGCCTCCCTTCTTTCAATTACTGAAGGCTCACATTTCCTCTCCTCTCCCTCATCAAGTTCTACTGACATCCACATCTAATAAGAATAACAGGGCAGCTGTGCTCTGGGTGGAGGCTGCTTAGATCCACGATCCTGTGTCTGCCAGCTACTAGGTGGTATAACTATGGCTAAGTTACCGAACCTCACCCTGCCTCAATTCTTTCATCTGTAAAATGCAATGAATGTCTCCTCCACAGAGTTCTATGGATTAAATTATCTACTAAGCTCAAAGAAGGCACATTAGGATTCAATAAACACTAGCTTCTCTAATTAATCATCAGGCCTCTCTCGCCTCTGAATTTCATCTGTTCCATTAATGCTTGCTACTCACAGGTAATATTAGGTCTGCTGCATATGTACTGATATCTCTGTTTTCTTAAAAGACTGTAAAGTCCCTGGGAAAAGGAAGCATAATGATTTTGGCCCTCATGGTATCTACCACAGTATGTGACACAGCGGTTTCCAGAGCCTTAAGATCGACTACCTTGTACACAGCAAGTCCTCCATGCATATAAGTATGCAACAACTGGAGGAAATTAGTTCTGTTCTTACACTCTATGAATTAAGGATGTTGGAGGGGATACACAATATTTCTGGATTAGATAAAGTCCAAGATTATCCAGCCTTTTCTCTACTACAAACACAAATACCTAACAACCGACAGTTAAATTTCTTCTCTCATATGCCTGATAAATAGCCTTCTACTCTTTCTAAAAAAAACTGCAAAAAAAATTCACGCTATGCACTTAATTCTTCTACTGGATGCCTGAAGCACAGCATAAGAATGGACCCTAAACCTGGTTTAAGGCTCAACTGCAAGAATCACACGGTCAGTGATGACTCTCACGTGATCTGAAATAAGCTGGCAGCATCAGGCACCAACCTGTTCCACTTCTACGAGCCCCTGAATAAGGGAACTCATCCTTCCAACAATGCATAATCATTTTAGCAATGGAAAAATAAATAATTAATTGCAGCTTACACACTAAATTAATTGTTAAACTTTTTGGTTGCCTCTGGTTCCACCTTTCCTGCTTCTAACAAGGAAAAGCAATGATACGACTGTGGCCAGCAGCTATAAATAAGGGAACATCCTCACTCTTGCATTTGTTCACGTAACTATACACTCATTCACTCAGTGTATTTGATTAATATACCGACCTTTAACGAGTTATTTACTCTGTGTGCCTCTTTCCACTCACCAAGAAAAGAAGATAATACTTCACAGGGTTGCTGGCAGACTAAAGCAAATAAGACGTGTAAAACATTTAACACAACGATTGACCCCTAGTGCACATGCAATAAAAGATAGCTCAGGGCGCTAACAACCACTGGGCTAAGTGCTGGGGAAATGGCAGTGGACTAGATACAGTCATTGATCTCCACTGAGCCTATGTCAGAACTGCTATGACTGATGAATGAACAGCGTGTTTGAAAACACAGAAAAGAAGCAGGCTTAGACTTGGAACCTGATGGAGAATGTCTGCCTACAGAAAATTATAGCTGAGCCAAATTTTCAAAGGTAAATAAGAGATCTTTTCTAATTGGAATCTTAAACTAGCCAACAAAATAGAATAATATAAAAATAAAACGGAGTGAGGTCAAAGGGGTTGGGGAGATGGGTTGGATTCTCTGGTCTTACACTACTGGTGCAGTGGTATACTTCGCTGTATGTGATCAAGTTCTACTTTGAAGTTTATGTAACGAACTTACGCATAATTAACTGGCCCTGCTTCTACCAGCAAGCCACATAATAAAACATAGTATGTATCCTTAGGAATCTATTTAAAAATCATGTCTGAAATGCAAATAGTATCTGTTGCCTCCCTTCTCAAGTCTTACTCTTTTATCAAGGTTCTGTTTAAATAGTCTCTCTACATCCAAACTTTTCCTGTGAAAGGTTCTCTGTGTACTTCTAAATCATTTATTTTGATTCCAATTCCTTTGACATTTTGCACAAAAGCCTTTTTGTATTTTTAGGATGTTGTCATTTGTGCACATTTCTCAGTACCATGACAGTGATCACATCTTCCGTTTCTCTGTTACCTACAGAATGCCTCTCAATACATCTTGTACAAAGGGGCCCTCAGAATTTTTCTGCTGATGGAATTCAGATTTTTCATGTCATTTTGTGCAATCAAAGCTTTTTCTAGGCCTTCACTGAAGAGAACAGGTACAAAAGTAAAAGTAAGGTTTGTATATACATACTTTATTAAGCCATCTTCCATGTAAATGTCAGCATAAAAGGACTGATCATCATTGACGATTCTGCCTCCCTTGATGAGGAGACGGTCACTCTAGAAAAGAAGAAAAACACGAGTCACTGTCAAGGAAAGTGGTTTGCTAAGGTTTCAAGGAAAGTGGTTTGCTAAGGTTTTCTCAATTTACTGTTCCAGTTACAGGCTTTTAAAAATACCTGATATAACATGAAGTTATGCTCACTTCATGTTATATTTAAAATTCAGCATACTTACGTATGTGTCCACATATGTATAAAAAATTGTGAAAGTATAAGAAAAATCTCCAAGTGGAAAAAAGGCAAAATATCTACAGCATTCATCTCAGGGTGGTGAAATTAGGCAAGATGTATATTTGCCTTATATACTTAGAGCTTCTCAGATTTTTAGTGGATTTCTTTATTGCTTCACTCATGAGATACAAAATCTGGATATGTAATTCAAGTAGAAACAATGAAAATAACTCTAAGGTTATTATTAGCAAAATGAATACATACTTTCTCTATAGTCAGGAGAGACACCAATCACTGCCAGACTGGATGATACAGTCAGGATACAGGACAGTTACATCTTTGAATGGATACAGCCTTGTTTGACCACAGAGGAGCCTGGCAGAGGGGAGCTATGGCATAGATAAATGCCATAGGCTGGATTTTGTGAAGAACTCAACTTAGAGACTTCAACTTCATCCATGTATACATCTCTCCCTCTCATTCATTAATCCACTTATCTGTTACCCGCCCACTAATTAAGCAAATAATTATTTAATTTTTATCATTAACTACTTAGGAAGCATATAGTTGGGAACAAACCATACTAAGAGTCATTGCGTCTATGAAATTTAAGAGGTTTAGTAATACAGAAAGTCAGTGAAACACAGCAATGCAAACCTGCATAAAGTGTCACACAATATAAGAGTAGGGCTTTGTTTAAATAGAGGTCATAGAAACTCTTTCCAAGGAGACACAACTGAGGTGAAGATAGAGAAGTGGCACTTCTTTGGGCATTAGGAATAGCATGTACAAAAGCAATGAATTAAAAATAAATTTTGTCTCTTTGAAAATGAGAGCTCAAAGAGAGTAGGCAGAAGTGTTTGCGTCTGAATGAAAATACAGAGGCAAACGCACTGTACACTGAGGAGCGAAGACTCATGTAGCAGAGGCAGTTTTGATCACAATGCTCAAAGTCAACACACTGTACGCTACCTGCCCACAGGGACTAGGACAAGGACGGGAGGTGTCAAGGGCAGGCAGCTTCCATTTGGAGCTCTCCAGTACCACCGTTCCTTTGATGCTCGCCCCCTGGCTCCTGTGTAAGGACACAGTTTTCGAGGATACAGGTTTAGGGAGGAGGGAGTGCCACAGACAGGTGACTTCTGGCTTCAGAAAGGGAAGTGGGTAAACAGGGGCAGAGAATGAGAGGTGGAGACGGGGTCCCGTGGGAGACAGAGGAAATGATCACTTAGCTTCTCCTGCTCCCAAACAGGAAATTTCATCATAGTGCCAGGGCAGAGGATTTATGAAAGACGCAGACCAAAGAGTTATTTAGAAAAGCCCTTCATGTATAGCAAGGATGGGAGGCGATAAAGTCAAATATAAACTCCTAACACACATGCTTCCCTCACAGTCTGATCTCTGTCCTTAGGTTCACCCCTATTCAGATCATATATTGCCTTCTATTTTGTGCAGTTATAAAACTATGAAGTGTATTGTTCTTGCACATATCAGACTATCTGACACCAAGATTTTTAAAAATACTCTTTACCTTCTTCCTTGTCCTCTTGCCATCTAGCAACCATTCTCTCTTTTGAAAAGTCTCAAGCCAAAGGGTTTCTCTGCCCTTTCCCACCCCAGTGTACACTACCTGACCTTCCCGCAAGTTTCATCTGTTCCCACTGAAATTAAGTTTGAACAATCACCATGTGTTTAGCAAGTTACTGTTTATCTCTTGGCTAAACCAAAGATGCCATCAGTCTTAGAACCACTTGTCTTTTCGTCTTTGTACCTAAGTTCTTGAAGCCCATATTAGACTGCTCTTACATATGGGTCAAAGGAACGGCTAAAGATGGAACAAAGAAGGTTGTATTGTATCAACATAAATAGATATCTGACTCAGAAAATTATGTGAAGTCATAGAGTTTGACTTTTAAGAAAAAAAGAAAAGCTGTTTCCATGTACTGCTTTAATAGTACTGCAAAATTAGATGAGGGAGTCTAAGGTTTGTGCTTCCACACTAGCGTGCACATTAAAAAGATGTGCATTTTCTCACTCCTTGCTCATAGTCACCAGACCTGTATTCTTAGAAGCTCCATTGACGGTTTCTAGTTCTCAGGCCACCATCAGCCGGCCCAGCACCAAGCCACAGATGAGTGTCTGGCATCACTATCTCACTCACAGTTCTGTGTGTTTATGAAAGGAACAGTGCTTCCAAGAGCAGTTTCAGAATGGCAAAATCCTGGAGACTGTGAGTTTCTTCTCATAGATCAATGCTTTTCTGATGTTCATTATCTTTCTGGCAAAAAGCTGAACTAAACTGGCTTTTGGTAAGGGCCAGTTTCCATCTGAGCTGAGACTAGCTCAGATGGAAATACCTAACGACATTCAACACTGAACCTCCAGTGTGACCACCATGTCCCTCAACAAGGATCACAAGTCAGCAAAGAGGCAAAAGCTATGTGAGACCACATGGATACCACAGGCTTGGCAGGAGCTGATCCAAGGGGTATTAACGCCATTGAGATGATGCCACTGGAAACTCTTCAAATGGTAATTAAGTAAGCAACTTGTGGCTCAATCATAAGGCATCCAGACAGAGCCCAAAGAGAAATGAGAGACAAGCTGTGGATTTCAGACTAAGTAAACTAACAAGACCTCTGATTCATGGGCTATAAGTACTGAATATTATTACTATTGTTGCTATTAGTCTTCATTACATAGAGCAGAAGCATCATAATCTGAACCCATAACAAGCACATGCTTGCCCTGGGAGTCCTCAGCCTGCTCTTCACCATTCTATCCTGAATTCCCACATGATTAATTTCAACTCTTTCCATGCATGGGGAAATCCACTACAAATGACAGCCTGGGCCAACCAGCCAGTGGACACAGAAGAGTCTAAAAGGTAACTCTGGATAACAGCACTGAGGAATGTCAGGCTTGGTATGAAAGAACCAACACCAGCCCTAGGCAACAGAAAGCCAAACTTTATTAGAATTCAAAACGTAACTGTATGAACTCATGGACAAAACTCAAAGATGAACACAAGCTAGAATCGGAAGTCAACAAGATAAACAAAGCCAATGAGGTGATAAAATGCCATCTTCAAAAATTAACATGGCTTTTTAGAGTTCTGTATTTTCTGTTTCAGGCAACTAAGGTTGTCAAGCATCCATAGTCTACTGTGGAGCTTTCCAATCTTTCCCATGTAATGAGATACATAAAGAATGATGCTATGTCTGGGGTATGATGGGGGAACCTATTTTTTTTTAAGTATGTGTGTGTGTATGCATGTGTGCGCGCCTGTACATGTGCGTATTTGTGCGTGTGTTGTTGGTTTTTTGAGACAGGATCACACTATGTATTTCAGGCTAGTCTTGAACTTACTGTGTAGTCCAGGATGGCTTTGAATTAATTCATGGAGATACTCCTGCTTCAGCCCCCCAAATTCTGGGACTACAGCCATGGACTACCAGGCCTCACTACTGCTGGGTAATCTTGACAGTATATAACCCCAAAATGAAGCTATTTAGACCCTAATGCAATAAGCAGGGAGCTCTGCGCTAGGCTTTTGTAGCTATCAAAGGCTATGTGTCAAGTGCTTATATAGACAGCAGGGTGCCAGCCCAGCAACTGGGAAGCAGGGGTCCAGCTGTGCCCTACCCCTGGGAGATTAGACAGGTACTAAACTAGACAGTGGCCTTGAGTTAGTACCCAGCCTCTCAGAGCTTCAGTGTTTTCACCAGCCCAAAGTAGACAGTAATATCTAACTCATCTATCAGGATGTGTGTGTGTGTGTGTGTGTGTGTGTGTGTGTGTGTGTGTGACAGAGACAGACATACCTAGAGAAATACCAACTGTAATAAACCTAGTATCTGTTGTATTCATTCCATTAACATTATTTATAGTATGTTACATTATTTTAAAAGCCTTGAGTACTTTGAAGAAAACTACTGTTCCTGTTTTCCAAGTAGGGAGACGTACACACAGAGGTACCTTATTCTAGGTGACAGTGAGTCCCACAGCCAAGGAAATCCACAGCACTGATTTCCTCCTTGCCTCTGCTTTGAGGGTATTAAAATCTTAGGACAAAGGTGCTTTCTGACAGAGTTCTCATTCCCATTTGACACTGAATCTGACTGTTCTGGTGTTTAAACTGCTGACCAGGTTTCTACCTTAGGCAGCTTTAAGATTCCATTAACTTTCAGCCACTTCTAAAATTGGTGCACTAAATCTGCGCCACATGGCCTGAATGTGTTAATGCAGTTTATAAAGGGACTTAATTTGCAATCCAGGGTAGCAAGCGCCATTAAAATGTGGGAAAAAATATTTTTTTTCCCTTCTGGAGTATAATCATCATTAGGAAAATTAAAAATTTGAGTTTATAAGAGAAAGATGGAGAAAATTAAGGGAATGAGGGAAAAAAGGAGGAAGGAAGGAAAGAAGGAACCATTAACATTTTACAGATGATTGATGACCCACTCCACCTAGCATAGGAAATGAAGACAGTCTTAAACTAAAACTACTGGGTATATTTCTTTCCCTAAGTCTTCAATGCAAATAATGTAAGTGAAAGTTTCCTTACACCCGAAAGACACTCCCTAAACTGCTACATCTCTCTACCCAAAGTAATGAGATTGTGCCTCTAGGATAAATCAAGTCCTTCACAGATCCCACCAAGTCAGCCTGAAGCCTCAAGCAACGCAGTGCGCAAGACACATCTGCTTTGTAGTCTGCAGCCATTCCAGCAGTCCAGAATAAAAGCTATAATCCAATAAAGAGAAAAAGAGGATATAAAATGGAGAACCAATCTCTAAAAATTAAGTATTTTGTTACCTGCATTCA